AGACTGTTATAAGAACAGGTCCAGCTTCTTGGGCAGCTGAAATGGAATAAAAACTTTTTTTTTCCAGGCCAGACCCCCTAATTTATTTATAGAGTAACAGAATGATGAAAATGCGTACAGATTGACAGAATAATGGGGGTAAGTTTCTGAAGAAACTGTGGTCCTGCGTCGGTAGGAGAGTATAACAGAGTAATTTAGTGTTATTAATGAGTTGACAACGTATACTGGGCACTGTAAATAGTTTAAAGGCTGACGTTTCAAGCATTAGACCTTCATCACCCTGACAATTTATGTTATCAACTCAGTTGATAACACTAAATTGACCAGGTGAAAGACAGACAGACAGATAATCAGAGGGATGTGGGTTCCTTACAGTGAGCTACAGCTGTCATCTACAGGTAAAACCAACATCCTCAAAATTAACAAACTATTCACGACAAAGAATTAACTTACCTGGAACAAACCCAGAGAAGGTGTAGGGGTTGGTCTTCTCCAAAACAACACCACTTACTCCATCAAAGTGTGCCACACCTCTTGTGTCACTTTCAAGCAGTGCCTCTGTCAACATTATATGGAACTGAATTCCACCCTGAAAGCAGGACATGTATCAATAATGAAGAATGATGGTAAATTTTCAGCCTGGTAAAGAATGGGGAAAGAAGAACTTTTTATCTTTTATCATAAAAATGAGTATTTCTTTGAAACATATAAAACCTCGCTACCAGTGCAAAGAACAAAGTACTGAGCAATAATTAACACATTGATAGAAAAGAGAATCTACAGTTCACCATAACAACTTTAACTTTGAAATAGAAAACATTTTTCCAGACCAAAATGTATCAATCAAAGCTCTTTAAATGTTTCATCCTCGCACCTGATTAAATTTGCAGATCACTATGACAATTTCCAAAATTAATAAAATTACCTTCACAGGGCCTGATGATGGGGAAATATCTTGAACCACTGCAATAGATTAGAAGGAAAATTTGTAGAAGGAAATCAAAGAAACCACCTTTTTATTTTTTTTCAAAATAATAAATAATACACCATGTAAAAAATATACCTCCAGGTTGGTCCACATCATTATCTGAGTTGGTACAGATTTCCTCCAGCACTGAGTCTAAATCTTCAGCAGAAATGCCAAATATCTGCTAAGGAAAGGATTATTTAGTAGTTACTGTAGTAAACTTTCAAACCTTTCCCTATAAATATCAAGACATTCTCTACCAGATGGTGATGAGAAGAACCAAAATGTCAACTAGGGATTACTTTTGGATTAAAAAACATTCTCAGAGCTAAAAATATCAGAAATATGAACAACAAAGTACAGATTTGGATCTTTGGGTTTGAAATGATTCATGACAAATAACTGATAAACCATGTGTACTTTTTTTAATCTGAAAGGAAAATACAAAACAAAACAATTTCCACTGAGTGCCTGTCTCTAAGACTTGATCACTATAAAAAACATTCCGATCTCACATGCACAACAAACATGCACAGCATGTGTGTGATGAGGGTAGGATGGGGGGGAGGGGAGGAAGGGAGAGGTGGGAGTTTGTACCATTGTCATTGTAATTGTCATTTCATGAACATATCAATTACAGCTGTTGTGATTTTTATTTACCTGAGATGGAGTTTCGATATTTGTTAGATCAACAAGATCCTCTCTCTTGATATTGACCTGGAGTGCTGTACCAGCTGCAGTCATGTTTAGCAAATCTAAGGAAATATCAGTGAGTAAATATTAATACTGACAGTATCATGATGCCATTAATGTAACTACAAAGTGCAATATCACCTGACTTGTTACATCTGGCAACAATGTCTGTTGCTGCTTTTAGCTTCCTTAAAGCTAAATTCTACAAGTTTAGAAACACAACCCACTATTTGTTAAATAAATATTTTAAACTCTTTAACCCATACATGTAAGAGTGACAAATATCTAATATCACCACAGAGTCAAATGGTCATGCTCATGATTGTTGAGAAAATTCTCCTTGTCAGCATCTTAGAAAATTTATGGAGAGCAGTATGGAGAATATACACACTGATGGAAGAGTGTAAAGGGTTATAAATGAATGATCAAATGATAAAACCCTGATCAAACAATTTTCCAAAACAGGCCCAAAATATTAAGTCACTATTACCATCAGAGACATCCATGGCTTCCTCAAAACCTGTGTCACTTGTGTCAGGAGACCTGCCTACGTCAGGTGACACTTGCAGTTTCTCATCAGCCTTAATTAACAGTGTTTGGAAAAAAAAGGGGCATTAAATTAAAGGCAAAAAGTGTTTGAACTGATGCCATAACGATATTAAAACATTGCCCCTTTTCTATGCACTATTGGAAGATTTCAGTATTGTCATATACTTTTTTTATTCTAAAACAAAGCCATAGACCCAAAGGCAAACTCTTGTTTCTCCCATTTTTACATTTTCCAAGAACTGTATGAATAATGAAGTAGGTGGTTGTGGAAAAATCTTGCCCAAAACACATTAATTAAAACAAACAAACTGTTCCATGTCTGTCTAAGGCAGTAAGATAAATAATAGCTGTGATCATTTATAGTCACAGGAATACACTTCGAATCATATCCTTTATCTAGAGCACAAGTTTTGAAAATACTAGGTAGCATACACCTGCCCTAAATATACTTGAGTTCTACTGGGGTTTGTATCATATACCTCTGAAGATGTGCTGCTTGTCTCATGATCACTGTCATCTGAAAGTTCCACTTTAGATCCAAACAGTGACTGAAACACTTTAGGTGGCATCTGGAACTGTCTCTCTATGACTTCATCCTTGTCATTGATCTTTTTGCTTTCTTTGTACTCTTTTGCTCCATCTTTTTTGTAAATGTTGAGCAAGGCTGCCCTCAGACCATTGCTAGCCTTCCTCCTATTAATGTTCTTGCTTTTAAACTGAGGATTTTTCTTGGATTTGTAGATGGCATAGCGCTCCAAGGTTCTGGACCAGTTTAGGACATAGCGCCCCTTTTTATTCACAAATTTGGCATCTTTTCCTTCGCGAATCAAATCTCCGATAAAACCATACACACCATGGCCACTTGAATCCTCTTTTCCTAAAAAATATGTATATTAAATATTTTTGTGGGAAAGAATCATATAAAATTTACCATGAAGTTAAGTTAGTGTCAGACTGTTCCCAACTCCACATATAAACTCTCCCCAAGGATTACCCAAATTCCCTGTTTTAAAAAGGTTTTGGGCATTTGAAATCCTCAACAAACATTTACAGAAAAAATTCATATGATCCAGAACAATTTACGCTACAAATCTCGTGAAGGCCAGCTCTCACTGACTTTTTAAAATACTCTACCAGCTGTATTGTCTAAACATAAGCAAATCTAGGAATCTGCCCAAGAATCCTTCTTAGAGGTAAAATAGACCTGTCATAAAATTAATAAGGAAGAAAAAGGGCAAACTGTCTGAAAATTTGCCTTTTAACCCGAACTGTTTATGAGTGAGCACAAGTAATGATCAGATTCGCACGAGTTACAAATTGGCCACCAAAGCACTCGGTCGTCACTCGTTCACTTCCAGCTCAGCAAATGGTAAGCAACATACTGCCCAAAGCTTCCTCATTCGACAAATTAAAAGGACTCATAGGAAATTGCATCATTTTAGTTATTCCTCGTGAAATCTTTAGTTAGCTTATTTTTACGCTGAGGTAGCACAATTCGAACCAGTTTGGGAAAAGTTCAGTGTCGACCGAAGAGAAAAGCGCATGAAAATTACTCACCCACTCCGGCTTCAGCCCCACGCTTAGGCATACCGGATCAGGTTTTAAGCTAGACAAATGGCCAAAAGTTTTCATCAAAATCAAAAGAATTCCGCGCTGGACCATCGATCAACCACTCTGAAGTACTAAAAGCTTTTAGATGAAAATATTGTTTCGATCTCTTATTTAAATCAAACATGGTGTCCAAGGTATTTTCTCGGGTCGTGATTGGTTAATATTACACAAACTGTCTTCTTATTGGTCGTTCGCTTTTTGTACCCCTCCAAAACGGAAGTACTTTTTCTCCAAGCGAGGATAAATTTGGTAACATTACATCATGGCCTCTTAGAAGCAGAGAAGTAAAAAATTGTTGCAGCTTTCGAATGGTTCCCTTCACCGAAAGCACGCGCTATTGTACCGTTGAGTGCTCACTGCTTCAGGAGTGAAGTCCCTTTTATAAGATAAATGACTTGAAATAGTGAAAGTTCTAATCGAAAATTATTTTGGACCGGTACAAGCCGGAAATAAGGATGAAAGCCTTCTAAAAAGACCACTAGTGAGAAGAATTTTTGATTGGAACCAGGGTTTCGGGAATCCCGGAACATAATGTGGATTATATGCAAAACGGGCAAATTCACAAGAGAAGTTTCGTGGCATTGCATTGTTTATCCAGAGTATCTGCGAATAACTGTGCCCTATTATCCAACTACATAAAGTAGAGTGAATATAACGCGCGAGTAGAGTACAAATATCCTACGATATTGTACGGTTTTTTGGACAGTTGATTATTTTGTACTGTAAAAAAAAAACTTGTTTATTAACCAGTCGGCTGCGCGCGCTATCCTTTTCTACCTGCTTTGCTTTTCCCGCCTTATGAGAAATGAACAGAAAGACCTAGCAGAAAAAAAGCAGTTTGATAATAAATAACCTATTAGATGTTTTCGGGAGCTCCTGACGTTTTGGTTTGTAGTATCACAGAGTTCACTCGTTGTTTGTGTTTTGACTCGCCTTCCGCGCTCGTCAAAATTCGGCGCAACTCGTAAAGATACTCAGCGATACTAAATACCAAAACGTCAAATAAACTTGAAATAGTTTAATTTCTTTTGAGAGAAAGTTGTAAACGAAAATTATTTTGGACCGGTACAAGTCGAAAATAAGGATAGAAGCCTTCTAGAAAGACAACCAGTGAGAGGAATTTTTGATTGGAACCAGGGTTTTGGGAATCCCGGAACACAATGTGGATTATATGCAAAACGGGCAAATTCACACGAGAAGTTTCGTGGCATTGCATTGTTTATCCAGAGTACCTGTGAATAACTGTGCCCTATTATCCAACTACACAAAGTAGAGTAAGAATAACGCGCAAGTAGAGTACAGAGAAAAAACGTTGGATAATAAATAACTTATTGGACGTTTCAGGAGCTCCTGACGTTTTGGTGTGCAGTATACTCGTTGTTTGTGTTTTGACTCGCCTTACGGGCTCTTCAAAATTCGGCGCAACTTGTAAAGATACTCAGCGATACTACACACCAAAACGTCTCATAAACTTGAAATAGTTCAATTTCTTCTGAGTGAAAGCTCTGATCGAAAATTATTTTGGACCGGTACAAGCACGAAATAAGGATGAAATTCTTCTAGAAAGACCACCAGTGAGAGGAATTTTTGTATGGAACCAGGGTTTTGGGAATCTCGGAACACAATGTGGATTCTATGCAGAACGGGCAAATTCACATGAGAAGTTTAAATTTCGTGGCATTGTATTTTTTATCCAGAGTACCTGCGAATAACTGTGCCCTATTATCCAATTATCCAACTGCACAAAGTATAGTAAAATAACGCGCGAGTAGAGTACAAATATCCTACGATATTGTACGGTTGTTTGGACAATTGGTTATTTTGTACTTTAAAAAAAACCTGTTTATTAACCAATCGGCTGTGCATGCTTTGCTTTTCCCGCCTTATGAGAAATGAGCAGAAAGATGACTGGAAATATGTGAAAATCATATATCTGCACTGCGGTGAATAAATAAAATGTAAGCGATCCTCGCAGCTATGAACACTACTGAAGTAGTAGCTGAAATGAGACCTGAAAAAAATTCGCAGAGAAAAAAGCAGTTGGATAATGAATAACTTTTAAGACGTTTGGGTGTTTAGTATCACTGAGCATTTTAACTTGTTTGTATTTTGACTTGCCTTACGAACTCGTCAAAATTCGGCGAAACTCGCAAAGATACTCAGTGATACTACACACCAAAACGTCTGGTAAGATGTATATATATATATAATAAGCTCAGTTGTGCACGCATTCTGATTGGTTCTCACTTATGATCTATTGGAGGACAGACGTATAGATGACGTCATCATTCAAACTTTTTTCCGTATAATTAATCCTTTAATTCTTCGGCTGTGCCTCGTGTGCCACTTTTTTGTTCTTACCACATTTTGACGTCATCTGTGATCTATTACTGAACAGACACACGGCAACTTGGAATCTATTTGTTTTATATAATAAATAATTTTAAAAAAAGTTAAATGATGACGTAATCTATACGTCTGTCCTCCAATAGACCATAAGTGAGAACCAATCAGAATGCGTGGATAACTGAGCTTATTTTATAAATAAATATAAATATATATATATATATAAGTATGCGCAAATTAATTATATAGAAGCTTTTGGTCAGAGCTTGTCAGTATCGCGAGTTGAGCAATGAAGTCCTTCTTGCTTCTGGCGGCTTGGTTCCCACAGCCCCCCATGGTTACTCTAATTTCTCCTTACCATATCAGCCCTGAATCAAACATTAAGGTCAGGAGAATAAAGGAGCTGATGATCGCCAAAAAATTATTTGGCGACAATACCGCTGACAAGGAGCCAGAATAACCCTGAGCTCGAGATTGGATTGGACAAGTTCGTAAGTAGTTAACCGAGAGCCTCTCCTTATTCAAATTAGTTTACCTCCTATAAAAACTTCTTGGGGATGTTTTCAGATTTTGGTAGCGAGCGAGCTAGTGTGAAAACTGGGTTTTTGCCTTCACAAATAACGGACGGACGGGGAACAACTCGATAACCTTCTTTTGGTAAAGGCTTTCCTTAGGGGAGGCTGCGGGAAGGTCGGGATCTATTACGGCTGTTGACTATCCTTGAGACAATGACTAAAAAAAATCAAAGTTGGCTCCAACGTAGATTTATTCTATACGCACCACAAAGCTGACTGGTTTCCTTTTTTACTATTTTACTGTCCCGTGATACTCCCAGAGAAAGCTCTATTTAAGCCTAAGGTACAAAAGATTAGGTAATGCTATGAATTATCTAAAGGATCACGTAATCTAATACAACGATTGGTTAAGAAGGAATTTCCCCTTTCACAAGATTAATTACTTTCAAAAAGCTCAGCTGGATAACAACTACACGAAGGATCATGACTGGTGACGGTTACAGTTTAACACTAGTTACAGACATGATTTAATACCAACTGTTTAAGGCTGACTGTATTAAGACCGGTATCATCTACGCATGCTGAACTTAGTAAAATCTTGCAGTTTCTACGTTGGATTTTATATATTTTTTTAAGCGCTAGCATACAAACTTGATAACTAAAAATCCTATCGTTACACAAGCAAGCGAGGAATTTCGTTTTTTTACATAAAACCTGATTTTCAGATGTTTTCCACATCATAAAATCCAATAAACTGGTTATGAGAATAATCAAACTAAACGAGTGGAAGTTGTCTTAATCTAATACTAAATTCTTGTAACTAATCTTCGCCAAACCCTCTCCGCACAGGTATTCGTCTTTGCTGTTGACTGTTTTTTCATCAATGGGTTGCTAACTGTTAATGTCGTTAAATGGTTGTTCCATTCTGTTTCTGCCATAAGGGAGCTCCATTCAAATCGCCTGTTTCCTCCTCATTGCTTCTCTCTTTAGCACGTCTGGTCTTCTCAGCAATTGAATTCTGATCAAAGTTAAAATTACAACCGGGATTTTGTTGCTGAATATTCTGCCTTCGCGACTCTCGTGCAGTGCTACATAAGTTACCAACATCTCGCTCATGTTCACCTGGTAAAGAGAAAAAAAAAAGAAAAAAGGAATTAAGCCAGTGAAAACCAGAAAACCTTTACTTGACACACACACGTAATTCTACTTAAAAGTTAATCAACTTCATGCGCTGTCAAAACTGTTTACCTTAAAAAATCACTTCTTACCGAACCAAAAATTTGTATGCTGCATATTTTCAAAAACGAAGAAAGAAAAAAAAGAAAACTTTGGGGTTGTCTTTGAAAGCCACATTTAGTGACAGGCCTTTTCACCAATTAATCAAGTTACTTGTAAACACTCATATTAGCAGCATGACGCGTCCTCTTATTCGCTCCCTCTTTGCCTCAATCAACAGAAAAACTATTGTAGTAGTATTGTCGCCGATCTTTGTTACCTGGCAAAAAGTCTTCTTCGCTGCTACTTCCTCCTCTCTCCTGCTCGTTGACTTTGGGCTTTGGTTCGAGCCTAATAAGGTCTTCACCAACAAGATCCGTGCAAGTTTTCATCAAAGATTCCTCTTCTGCTTCGTTTTTTCCTTCATATTCCGCGACACCCTCAGGGCCACAACACTCCTCTGACGTGGGGTTTTCATCTGAATCTGTTAAAAAGTTGAAACAGAAGAGATGTTTAAATTTTTTGGTGAGAATGAAGAATATTTTCAACGTTCTTGAAAGATAAGTCATTCATGTGTGTTTCAATGAAGCCCTTCGAATCAACTCTTCGATTTTACAAGCAAATTTATACAAAATTTAATTTTTTTTCAACAAAGTTTTAGTTTGTAATTACCAAAATATACGTGAGGAAATTTGGGGTCGAAAAAATGTACAGTGACAAATTTAAACGCATAGGATTGCAACCTATTAAATAGCACTGACTCCTTGTCGTGTTTCCTTTGCTTTGGTTGGTTGGTTGTTATTACTTAGGGTTTGATTTTAAGACACTTACTTGAAACGTTCTCTAAAATACCACAAATATTTCTTCTTGGGCACCACTAACAACTTAAGGACATACTTCGACGCGTGGTAATTTTGCAGTTTCTCAGTTTAATAACACTTCACTTGCAAGTCTTTGCGTTACTTGTAAGTTAAAATGTGATTCCTCTCATTTTATTGTGATCCATTGGGAATATTGTAGAATTTTCAAGTAGAGTACAATTCATAGTGGTGTTAAATCCATGCAGAGTACAATTCGGTCCGTAATTAAACGAGTGACAGACGAAATAGGACTCCTTAGGAGCGGGAGTTTCATTTACTTTCGTATCACAAGTGTGATTAGACTGACTCGATCAACACTTTTACAAATGCTTGAAGACAAAATACTCATCACTTAAAGGTGTGGATAAATAATGACACAATTCCCTTTTTAACTATAGAAAATGAATCCAATAGTCTACATAACAGCGCACTCAACAGAGTTCACTGTCCGATTTCTGTAAGAACACAACGTGTACATTTTTTTATTGGTGCCTCTCAAAATAAACAACCACCTACGAATTTTGTTAAAATTTTGTTAAAATTTTGTTAAATCATGATAAAACATTCTGAAATTTAAGTAGATGTAAGTATTCAGGATGACAAAAATAGGGTACCTTTACTCAAAGTCGTTGAAGAATTGTCTTCAGAAAAAGAGCTTTCGGAACCAGAAGATTTACTAGACAATGACTCCTCATCACCCAAATATCCAGTGCAGGAAGGTCCTGAGGAAACACGTACCGAGTCAACATTATCGCCTAAAGAAGATTAGCAAGATGCAGTCGAAACCTTGTGATTCACATCACAAATGACTTCATCGTGAGACAGACGATAAGAAATTATTACAAGGGTATTCACCCTTGCAATGATTTTACAGAAGAATGTTTGGAGATAAAGTAATAGAGAGTTTGGTAGAGTTTACCAAAAAAAAAAGAAAAAAAAAAAAAAAACAGCAGCCTCTATCTTTTGTCCTAAGATGGCCGCTACAAGGAAATAAGACGATTTTTTTAAACTCGTGTTTTAAAAAAAAAAATTTAAAAAAAAACTTTCAAGCTCGACAGTATGATCGCAAACTAGAAGTGTATCAAAATAGTTACAAGAACGTACCTGCCAAAGGTTCCGATAAATCTTGTCCTTCACTTCTCTTCATTTTAACCTTAAAATCAGCCCAATGGCAGAAAAACTCACTTTGTAATTTTGGATCTTCAACCAGTCGTAAAAGTGTTCCCTTATCTCGATCGTAATAAGAGAAATCAGTCTTTCCAAGAAGTCTTCCAGTCGAAGAATACACTGTAACAGTTACTTTGCCAGGCTTATCAGATGCTGAGGCACAAAATTGAAAACATACAGTTAACAAAAAATAATGTAAAATACAAAAAATGTACACGAAAAAAGGAAGTGTAAACATTTTTTTAGTATTTAAGTCATAAAAGACTTACCCGGAATTCGACCTTTCAAATTAAAATCATTAATTCTTTTCAAGTCAGCAACAGCCTTCTCTCCAAATTTTGCCCAGGCAGACTTTACTTCCGGTGGAAGAGCCTGCCCAAAAACTTGGACAAATTGCAATCCACCCTGAAAGAAACACATGCCATCGGTTAAATTTATGTTAGATAGCCAAGTTTAAAAAGGAGGAATACGCCTCAGATGGTTTCTGGAACATACTTTTATTTTTAGCGGCAACCCTATGAATGCAAACTCACAAACTCGAAAGACAATAAAATGTTCGGAAAAGTATATATTCAATTCAAGTTCAAACGCAAACAGGAGGTATACAACTATGAAAAAAAAAAATATTCACCTCGATAGGCCCTTCACTTGGGTAGATTTCCGAAATATCTAAAACCATAAAAAAGTTAATTGGTTAAGTCGGTGTTAGCAGGATATTTCAAAAACTAACTCAAGTTTTACAGACACTCCTCTTCAGCCCTTTTTATAGAAGAATGAACCTCAAAGGCCTACTCAAGTTTTACAGACACTACAAAGAACAGTTGATATGGCTTTGTAACAATGCCACTCCCCTTTGACAGTAGAATCTAAGAAAATTTGCTGCCACCCATAATTGTAAAGACCAAAATTATTCATAAATGCAAACAGGAAACATTGTTTTGTTGACATCTACCCATTTGAGGAGGCTGTTGTAGTGGATTATGTTGGAATGATATTGTATTACTTGGCGCCACAAGTTCTTGCTGCACATTCATAAGCGGTCTTTCATTTGATAACTCAACATCACTTTTCTCAGCACTTTTTTCAGCCTGCCCTGACACCAAATTTAAATGACTTGAAATGGTTTTGGATAGACCATCATGTGTAGCGATTACAACAGGAAGCTTTTCAGGGCTTGGTTGAACAGGATCATTCGTCGATGATAGCAACATTTTCACTGGGCTCTTGCTGCTTCTCAACTCTCCATATGTTGCAATCTGGTCAAATGAACGTTTCCTTCCTAACTGCTCTGAATCCACCACCACCTCTGATTCTTCAAATTCCTGTTCCCAACAGAAATAATACATGTGTCTTAGCATAACATCCATTACTAGTGACAGCCAAAATATTTGTGATTAATCCCTCCTTTAATTTCTCAAAAAGAACCATTCCAACAAACTTTGAGTCATGCTTTAAGACAGGACTGACACACTACTGACTTCAGTAGTGTGAGGAGATTATCCCAACACCCTGGACGTAATGCAACTCAGCATAACATCCATTACTAGGCTTCCCTGACAAGTTGCTTGTATGTATTCACACCCCTTGTGGGAGTAGAAGGAACAGGGAAGTTAGATGGTGTAGCCTTGAGTGCACTTTCCTTTCCATTTCTGGGGCCCAAGTTCATTTCATAGACACAGTGTCATGGGTAGAATTTTATGTTGGTACTGGTCCCTGCTTAGAGGTTTTTTTCTCAAGGTTGTCTGCTTTTCCTCCCTACACAAAACTAACAGTTCAAATTCTAATAAGACCTAAAAACAATTGATTGGGAGCTAATTTGTGGAATCTCCACCACCTACAATCCTACTCACTTCCTCTCTTGTGGCTTGACCAGCTGTAGCCATGTGTATGTCCTGAAGACCTTTTACTGAAAAAAAAGAACAAGTAATTTGAGATAAGACCATAACATTGCATTAGCCAACTTCAATGCACTCAAATTTCACAGGTGAGTAATTGCATTGTATCACTTACCACATCTTGGAGGTGTTGTTGCTTTAGTGTCATGACTATTGAATGATGGGTCATCAAGGCTTTGTGCAACCCAAGTAGAGTCACTAGAGTCACTGTGCAATACTTTCTTTTCTATTTCACTCACTTCTTGTTCATAACCAACATTACCTATAAAATAGGGCACTAGAGAATTTTTTGTATTATCATTATTATTATAAATATATATAGCACATAAATAAAAAATAGACAGCCAAAGACTGCACATGGCTACTGATATAGCACAATTTTTAAAGCATTGAAAAGAATTAGAGGTTTTCTAATGAGACTAGAAGGTAGTGTTGCAGAATATTTGTCTCACATGCAAAACAGGAAACCTGCCACTTCCCACATATTTATAAGTAACAATGATTACCTGTGCTTCATATAATAAATTTTGCTTGTTCATCATCAATAAATTTCTTATTTTATTCCAATTCCTTTTTTGAGACTTTTGTTTTATGCAAAAAGGCATTTCGTGTTTTAGGACATTCCATCTTTCTATGTTATAAAATCTTCCATCATTCTGCTGATCCACTGTAGCAAAATGTACACAATGGTTTTGCTTCATGCCAACATATTTGCCACGTTGTATCAATAGAGAAGTAATAGAGGGATAAATGTCGTTTTAGTGAGAACATTTTTTCACAAACAAGTAAAGCGCCATCGATTGACTTTTTTCTCTTATCATTTATTTAAAACATGCAATTCATGTCCAGTCACCCAAGAGAATGTTACATTCATGCTAATGCTTTTGTATTCGCACAATAGATTGTCAATGTTTATGATAATTGCGCAAATGAATTTTCTATTCTTTATGAATGCTTGTCAATAAATGCAATTGTTTGTTGGTTGGTGTTATTGAAGTATATTTTGATGTAAATGACTATAAAGTTCCCGCTCAAATGTCTGAGCGTGCATTTGTTTGTCAGTTAACGTTATTGAATATCGATACATATTCAAATATCCTAATTGAAAGTCTGATCAACACTAATGAAATGTAATCTAGAGTTAATGAAAAACTTATTTACGTCATTGATATAACTTTTGGCACAAATGAAAGTATATTTTATGGTAATGAACAGCAAAAGGTGTAGTAGAATCTGGCTTGAGCAGGCAAAGAAAGATTTGGATTGCAGAATTTAGATAAACCAAGATATTACTTTGTACTGATTTTCTAGACTGTCTGAGGTATGCATCTATTATTCTGCAGAGTTAAAGGAGTTGGATTATAGATCACCATCATTCTGGATTTCTCTGCGACTTTCTGGAAGCTTTCAAGCAATGTCTCAAAATGAGACAGAGGAACCCTGAGACTTTTTGGCGTTCTTCCAGTCAATTTAATCTTTACAGAGCAAGTTTTAATAAAAAATAATTGATCTTGTCCCATCAAATAACATATTCCAAGTAAAAAAAAATATTTCTAGTTAACGAGAACACACTGACCTAGAAAAGACCGAAGTACGAGTGGTCAGCGGGGAAACAAATTTAATACCTCATAGAGAGACATATCAGTTACAGTTGCGGAAAACAATAGTGTTGTAAAGCCGAAATATCAACAGTATACTTCGCTAAATAAAATGTTAAGCAATTTTTCAAAAGTGTTGATGGCACATATATCTTTTACTGCTGTAATAAACAATAGAGGCATCGGAAAAGGCATTGGTGGCATCCAGAAAGGCACTAAGAAGAATTATATTTACGTTTTGTAACTTGCTGCGTGATGAAAAAAGAAAACAAAAACCGTGGTCCCCAAATGAATTCTCCCACCTTGCGCCAAAACATTTTCAAATTTTCCACAGCTTCACCTTTTCCTATTCGTAGGTCCGGCCAAGCCTTTATGGTCATTGGCTCCTGTATAGCCACTAACTATGGCCTATAACTGAATACAGGTGTTTAGTGTTAAATTGTGAAACTCCCCGAAGAAGTTTACGACAGTTAAACGAAACGCATCAGGGAATAAAAAAAATTAAAACAGCTACCATTTGTAGTTCCGTCCGTTCGTTTAAAATAATTTTTTTTAAAATTTGGTACGATAGCTGTGGTCAGTTTTTCCATGCAGCTTGTCTGGATGTACCTTTCGCAGAGACGTGGGGGGGACAGAGACACCAACACAACATTTCACCTGCCGTTCGCTTCGAAAATTAAGTTTTCATCCCGAGTTCATTTGTTAAATAAAATAGGAAAAAAACACTTCAAACGGAAAACAGAATTATTTGAACGCCTGGATCTTCTGAAAAAAGGTCTCCTAAACGAGTGGCCCTGATTATATTTAAGCATGGTAAACACGTTAGCCTTAACTTGGCTGTTTCTCGAAGCTCAGTGTTTTCTTACATGCCTTTTTCACGTGAAATGAGGCGATTGAATATATATAATAAACACTAAAAGAACTACAGCTGATGGAAATTTAAAATGTCTTATCTAAAGGCTGTGGAAACAAACTTATTAATGACTCTAAACATATAGAAATCTAGAACGAAATTTTTTTAGAGTTGCTTAGCTTTTCATTTTTCCAGAATCGAAAGTCAAGATTGCAAAATTCAAGTGAAAAGCAAACCGACTGTGATTTACGCCTTAAACAAGTCAAGATACTTTATTCCGTCATACAACAAGTTACATATGGTAAATATCATTCTTCTTGATGCCTTTCCCGGTGTCACCGATGCCTTTCCCAATGCCTCCATTGGTTAATATAACAGTAAAAATATTGTTCCAGTCAAAGCGTTTGGAATATTGTTTAACTTTTGAATTAGCGAGGTATAACCTGGTAACATTTTGGCTTTACAATACGACTGTTTTTTTGCAAGTTACAAAACGTAAATATAATTCTTCTTGGTGCCTTTCCCGATACCTCCATTGTTTAATACAGCGGTAAAAGATATATGTGCCATCAACACTTTTGAAAAATTGCTTCACATTTTATTTAGCGAAGTATACTGTTAACATTTCGACTTTACAACACTATTGTTTTCTGCAACTACAACTGATATGTCTCTATATGAAGTATTAAATTTGTTTCCCCGCTGACCTCTCGTATTTCGGTCATTTCTTCATCCCCCGCTCGTCGCCCGTGATGTAGTAACTCCCATGCATCTCGATCGATAACTAGAAGCCATCTTGGATTTAGATGAGCCTGAACGTTGTATATCATCCATCCTAGTGTCCACTTTGTAGCACGTTAAAGATCTTTTCCCTAACTTAATTTTGGAGAGTCTATCTAGAACGCTGACAACGTAAAGAAAGATTTTGTTTGTCTTTGAAAATGGCGACCAACTTTTTTTGAATTGGCTACCACTTTGAAGAATTTAGGAGCCAAGTGGCTATCAGAAAAAAAAGTTAATTTCACGCCCTGTTATATCTTCAAAAAGTTCAGCGCCGACAAAAAAAGTACGATAAAATAACTCACCCTCTTCAACTTCAGTCCCACGTTTCGACATGTCAGGTAGATATTTAGTCTAGAAAACGACAGATTTCGATATCACACTAACAACTCCTTAAGTACTTCTACTTCAGTTAAAGTACAATCCTATCGGCATTCGTTTGACTCCTGCGCATGTTCAAATAGAGCACACGAAGCTCTACGCCAGCGGATGAGAAGGAGAGTGTTATTTTGTTGATGTACGTGAACTTAAAAATCACCCTAACTAATGGGCCACTTCCGAGTTCTGGCGGTTCAGTGATCTAGTACCAAAATAACGTCGTGAGGACGAGGCTAAGTGCGAAGTCGCTCTCATCGGCATAACGAATTAAATTAAGTGCCGTGGCAGAGAAAACGAGGGAAAATTTCTCGAATTTCATTGAAGGAGAGTGGAAAAATTATTCGTGAGAGAGGCATAAAGTAAAGTGATGGCGGAAAGGGAAAAAGAAAACTCCAGAACAGTTTGAATTATGCAAGATAGCTGCATCCGATGATTTTAGATAGATGAAATTCAAATATTTGCACTGCGGTGAAGAAACGAAATTAAGAGATCCTCGCAGCTAAGAACACCACTGAAACGAGTATTTGAAAATAGGACCTGAAAATAGGCCCTTTTTTATAACAAAAAAATTCAAAGATGGAATAAAAACAGAAAAATTAGCTTGAAGTTCAAATATTATTTATATTTAATATTATATGCTACGTTGTGTTTACAACCTATGCTAGTGACGAACTGATCGATTCATCCTCTCGGTCGAAGGAGTTTACCGCACGGATTTACACATTTTCATTTCGCAAATTACAGCGTCCCATTTTGCTAATTACAGATTTTGAGTTGATTTCGCAAGTAAAAGATTTTCAATTCGTTTCGTTTAGATCGTTTCGCTGATTACAGCAAACCCTTGCTACGATTCAGAAAGAAAAAAAGAATCATTAAATTCAAATTATAAGATGACATAGAAGAAACTGAGGCCAGGCTTAGCCAGGTTGCATGCGAACGCCGAACGAGAACTCTGGACAGTTACTGAGGTTGTGCATCCAAGCATCCAAAATTTTAGGAACTAGAAATTTGCCCTAACAATGGTGGCTAGTTGGATCCACTTCATTGCTGCAACTTTCTTGCATAACTCTTTCCTTTGCCGCCATCACTTAGCTTAGCTGAATGTCTCTCTCCCGCAAATAATTTTTCACTCTCTTTCAATAATTCTGGAAATTTTTCTCTCATTTCCACCACTAAGGCACTTCATTCTTTTTAACGACGAGAACGACTTCGCATTTCGCCTCGTCCTCGCGCCGTCATTTCGGTACCAGATCACCGAACATCGAGAACTCAGAAATAACCTATTGAAAGTAGAATTACAAACCAGAAGAAAATATCGAAATTTTTCTTAGTATGCCATTCAGTGCTCCTGGAAGTTTGGAGGTGAAAAATGAAAGGATAATTGATGGCTTTCTACGCGGCTTTTATGCCGTTTTCGGGTTCCCGCGCGGGATTGAAGAGATTGCAAAGTAGTCAGTTTTATTGTATTGGTAAAGATGAACTTTGAGCGAGCTGTGAGTTCTTCTCGTAGCGAATTGGGCTGAGAGGAAAATGAGAATGAGGAAATGGGGCAACTGCAAACTGTGGAAGCGATCAGTTCAGATCTCAGAGACGGCCTCCTGCTTTTACTCCCGGTGCAACAGCTGATGATTGTATGGGAGACTGTACTTGAACTGAGTGGACTACTAAACAAAGAAGAACAGCAGTGTTTTAAGTGCCGCTCCCGCTAAGAGCGGTCCTCTCGACTTCCCGTCGGAAAAAAGTTTTCTTTTATTTTTTGCCCATGAAAAGGGTTTAGGACACATGTTTCAAAAATAGTTTAGTTGTTCTCCAATTCTCTTTTTTTGCTTCGCCACAAGCCAAAAATCATTTTTGGCCAGACCACCCCTGTGAACAGCTATCGAAACTAACCTTCCTTTCCGCAGATTTGTTTCCATCACTAATGATGTTACGCTCTTATGGACCACAACGGTTTTGAGCGACAAACTCGACATTTCCCTACGACCTGCGACCATCAAAATCAACTGAACAAACCCAGCTTGATATATTGCGTGACGTGATTGTGCAAATTTTTCCCCTTGCCATATGGCCTGTTTCCCGGGTTCTACGAATTGAAACCAAAATTAGTTAATGTAACAAATTAGAATCGAAAGTTATTAAAATGGACTGAATTACATTTTAATGAGAATTTTAACTTTTAAAAAGGTTTACTTGATTCATGCGCGAGGAGGGTTAGTTCATCGGGTTCCGTATACTAAATCTCGGAAGAATCTGCAAGAATTATTTCAGAGTGTATGCGTGTTGTTTTGTAAATATAAACACTGCAACCTATTTTAACTTGTTTTTGTGTCCTTTCAAGCAACGCGATATGTCTGTTATGACCAGAGTGCCAAATTTTATTCTTTAATTTTGATCTTCTCCACACTGTGCATAATTCATGACCTGATATTTCAACGTAAATTATTGAGAAGGCCTTCCTATCACCTTTGTCTACTTTGTAAGTCACGCAAGCGCGCAAGCGTTACGACCGATAACGTTTACGCAACGTTTTAGGACAACTCGGCATCTAATCTCCATTCAGTTGCTGTGAAAACCTAAAATCCTCAACGTAGAAGATAAACGAACGAAGTCTGAACTGTCAAAAGGAGATCTTGGTCAATTCCAAGAATCATGCAAATTGTCTTTGACACGAGCGCAATAGTCTATTTTACAGTTGTGTGCTTGGTTGCCAAGCCTTTGAACAGGAGTGAGGCTAAGGGTGACCATGTTATGATACAAACCTTGCTGCTTTTGAAATGCAAATTAATTTGTTATCATGCTAACTAGATTCAGGTCTCTAACACAACAAGGTCACCTTCAGCCTCACTCCAAATCAAAGGCTTGGCAACTAAGTACACAACTGTAAAATGGCCTATTGAGCAAACACATGGATTTGCGTTGTTTTTAAGAAGTTGGTGGATGGAAGCTAGAGATATACTCGCGGGTTTGAGGCAATCCGTGATCTCATTGGTGTATAAACTATGCACTGATATGCTTTTTTGGCCCGATTAACGCCTGCATTTTGAGAATTCTTTCGTACAAAGTAGTGAATTTTTGATATGCAAATTAAGGTCGAAGAGCAGGGTCTCCTCTGATCACGCTAGTATGAAAAATATTTCAGTTGAAGTTTCCATATTTTGTCTGTGAACTAACTGAATACACCTTGTAACTTGTAGCAAGATAGAATTCTGTGAGCTACATTGTTGCAGTCGCTGTGCGCTGGACAAAATCTTTGAAATTGACACTTTCGATAGCTGTTCACAGGGGTGGTCTGGCCAAAAATGATTTTTGGCTTGTGGCGAAGCAAAAAAAGAGAATTGGAGAACAACTAAACTATTTTTGAAACATGTGTCCTAAACCCTTTTCATGGGCAAAAAATAAAAGAAAACTTTTTTCCGACGGGAAGTCGAGAGGACCGCTCTTAGCGGGAGCGGCACTTAAAACTCTTTATGTCTCTTTTTAAAACAAAAACGCCCATATTGTCGCCCCAACCGAACAACATACTTTAGACAACTTTTCTAACCTTTCATAATCTACTCAAGAATAAAATCATGCCAAAAAAGTTTCTTTTTATGATGCTTTGATATTTTCCTGTTTGACAAATTATCTTTCGACCCTTTGAAATGAACTTTGTTATTATTAACCTGTTCCAAAATAACTTTAGGAGGCAAAAATAGAAATTCTTACTTGACTCTAAATTTACTGAAAAGACATGCGTATGAATCAAATATCCACATCCCTCCTAAAGATCAAGAGAAACAGTGGAGCAATGATATAATTTGAACCTTGAAAGCATCAGAAACTTTGAGTCTACTCTAGCTTCTTTCTTTTGCATGATTCGGTTTGCTAAATCAAGCTAGGGGTTGGTTGTTTTTTATGAAAAAAAAAACCATAAAACGTGGAAGGTTCAGTTCACTTTTTGCATTTTTTAAGCGTGTAATGTTTCAAGGGTTAAACGATATCATTTCTCACTAAAAGAGAGACAAAGCAAAAATGATATTTGTCTCAGTCTGTTACAACTTTTGCTTGAAGTCATATTTTTAAAAATTGCTTGTGGTTTCTAAAATGATACCGCCACCTTATGCCTAGAGTGTTCATTACCAAGGATGATAGTTGTTTCAAGATCCGTTTTTATTAACCATTCAGTAGCATACAGCGTTGTAAGACAATACAGATGTAACTCGATCTCAGTCTAGTTAGACATTGATGGCGCATATAATCACGTACATATTGTAACATCCTCCCTTTTTTTTTTTGTGAAGAATAGCTTGGAAAAAGAGAAAAAGAAAGAAAGAAAAAAAAGAAAATTAACCAATAAAAGTGTCAATGTCAGTTCAGTTCAGAATCAATGCCATAGGACAAAATCTATCAGCTGGTGAGTTCGACATGAGAGGATCGGTAAACGAGAACACTGAACCCTATGATAACCGCGAAGCAGGATTGAAAGTCACGAGTCTAGTCACGGATATAGTCCTAGAGGTATGCTGGGCTCCTCCTGACACGCTCTGACCTCCGACATTGTTCCGGGACAGTCACCTCTTCAGGGTGTGGCTCGTGAGGAGCATTGCTCTGGTCAGGGGTAGACGCTGCGGTTGTGGTCGCCTGTTCATCTGCGCTGGCCATATCCGGTTCTGGCGCTGTGATGGTGGGTTCAACTGGTGGTTCAGACGTTTTCCGCAGGTGCTGTCGGTTTCTGCGGTAGACTGCTCCGTTGTCCGTCTCAACGGTGTATGATCGCTCGTCGAGTCTTGCAGTGACTTTGGCCTTGCGCCAAGACTTATCTCCAAGTTTGAATGGCTTCATTCTAACAACATCGCCTTCAGACAAACTGGGTAAATCCTTTGCGGACCGGTTGTAGTACTTGGCTTGGGCCTGCTGGCGCTGTCGCAGCTCTTTCTTTTCCACTTCCAGGTTTATGGTCCTGGGTAGTAGTAGGCTTTGAGTGGCAGGAAGGAGTGTTTTGGTCCTTCGGCTCATCAGGCGTTGTGCTGGGCTGGTCGTCGTCCCTTGTGTCGGCGTGTTTCTATAGTCGAGTACGGCGAGGTATGGGTCGGTTCCAGCCCTGATTGATTTCTTCAGAATGCGCTTGACTGTCTTCACCCCAGACTCAGCCTTGCCATTGGCTTTGCTATTTCCAGGGCTACTGGTAAGGGGCTCAAAATCCCATTTTCTGGAGAATTCAGCGAATTCGTCACTTGTAAACTGTGGCCCATTGTCACTGATCACTTGATCAGGTATACCGTAGCGAGCAAAGTGACTCTTTAGCTTCAGAATGGTGGTGCTGGCTCTAGTGTTCGGCAACCTGTCAACCTCCCAGAAATTGCTATAATAGTCGATGGTGACCAGGTAGTCTTTGCCATCAAGAGTAAAGATGTCTGTGGCGATCTTCTCCCAAGGACGGGATGGGACCTCATGGGACATTAGTGTCTCCTTTGGGTGCGTGGTGCTGTCGAGTTCTCTACATATTTCACAGGCGGAGATGTGGTGCTTCATTTCCGCAGACATGCCTGGCCAGTAGATACATTCACGGGCACGCCTCAGACACGCCTCTATTCCAAGGTGGGACGAGTGAATCTTCAGCTTCATATCTGTGCGAAGGCTCTTTGGTATCACAACGGAATTTCCTTTGAAAATCAGCCCATCTTGTACGGTCAGTTCGTCACGCATACTGAAGTAAGGGTGTATCAGTGCTGGAGCATGCTCCTTCTTCTCAGGCCATCCTACGAGAATAGTATCTGACAACTCTCGCAGACACTGGTCCTTCCGAGTCTCTGCTCTTATTTCGTCTAAACGTTGGTCAGATATGGGTAGATAACGGACCATGTTGACTGATTCGAAGTCATCTACTTCTTTTCCGTTGTAGGGCAGGTAAGCCCTTGACAGCATGTCAGCCAAATGCATGTTCTCGCCACGCTCATAGTGCACGGTGAAATCGTATTTCTGTAACCTCATCATCATTATCTGGAGGCGTCGAGGCGTTCGAGCGAGTGGTTTCTGTAGAATCATCTCCAGTGGCTTGTGATCACTTTCGATGTGTACATGTCAACCAAATGTATACTGGTTGAAACGCTCAAGAGAGAAGACAATCGCCAGCATCTCTTTCTCTATTTGAGCATACCGGGTTTCTGTGTCGGTAAGGGAGCGACTCGCGTACTCTATAGGCTTGCCGTTCTGAAGTAATGCTGCACCAAGGCCACTCTGGCTCGCATCACACTGTATGGTGAGGTCTAGGGAAGGGTCGTAGTAACGTAGAACAGGCGCTTCTGTTACTAGCCTCTGCACGTTTTCAAACGCCTGGTCTTGTTCCGAAGACCAGTTCCATGGAGCGTCCTTCTGAGTCAGGCGACGAATCGGTTCCATGACTTCAGACAGTTTCGGAAGGAACTTGGCTAGATAATTGTCAAATCCGTTGAGGCGCCGAACGCCCTCCACATCTTGTGGCTTCGGCAATTTTGTGATCGCCTCTACTTTGGCAGGATCAGGCTTCAGGCCCTTGTTCGTCAGGAGATGCCCCATGAAATTTACCTCGCTCATCCTCAGCTTCATCTTGTCTGGGTTAAGGACAATGCCGCGGTTCTTGCACCTTTGTAGGAGATCTCGAAGACTCCTGTCATAGTTTGCAGTGGCTTCTTCGTCGGTCTCTCCAGTGCCATAAATGAGGATGTCGTCCGCGATGCACAGAATACCAGGTAAGCTTTCCAGTGCGTGAGTTAAGTGCTTCTGGAAAATCTCGGACGAGGCGGAGAGACCGAAGGGCAAACGAATCCATCTGTACCTTCCGTAGGGTGTTGCGAAGGTCGTGAGTACGCTGGACTCAGGGGCAAGGACACAGTGCCAGTATCCCGACTTGAGGTCAACTGTGGAGAATACTTTTGCTTTTGAGAGCTCCGGGAGTATGTCCTCAAGTACAGGAAGTTGATATCTTTCTCTCTTCAGGGCGGTGTTAAGTGACCTGGGGTCGATACAGATTCTCAGCGCTCCAGATTTCTTCACAGCCACGGCAAGACTGCTAACCCATGGAGTGGGTTCATCGATTGGAGCTATGACCTCCAATTGCTGTAGTCGATCCAGTTCTTTCCTCAGTTTCTCTTTGAGTGACGTTGGGACACGGCGTGGAAGTGCGACGACGGGAGTTGCGCCTTGTTCGACTTCAAGGTGAACTGTTCCTGGTAGTGCTCCTAGCTCTCTTTGGAACACCTCTGGGTAGGCCGCTACTATTTCGTCAGCCGTCTGCACGCTCTTAACCTTTGCCCTTGATCGTTCAGGTGGTTTTGCGATCGTGAAGTTTTGAGTGTTGACAGTAATTAGGCCCATCTGTTGAGCTGCCTTTGCTTCGATGAGTGGGGTCAGTTGTCTATCAACGACAAGGAATTCCACCGAGAACTTCTTCTTATTCTTCGGATTGTGGAGAATTAATCGACAGGAACCCAGTGGCTTTAGTGTTGTGTCGTTCCACATTTGTAGTGTCTTTGTGGTGGGCTCAAGCTTCTTATCAGCCACAAGATCGGCGAAAAAGACATTCACCGAGGCGCCGCTGTCTACTTGAAATTTCACTTCTGCCTTGCCCACAAGCATCTCAGTGTAGATTACTCTTGGGTAATCATGTTCTTGTGTAACAGCGTGTATCATGTCCGGTCGTGCAACAATGCTTGTAATGTACTCCATGTCGCTGTCATCGGAGGATTCATCTCTCAAGTTGTACACTTTTCTGGTCGGAGTAGTGCAGGTTGTTGCGAAGTGATTTCTGCCACCGCACTTCGTACATTTCGCGCCCCACGCTGGACACTTTCCTTTTTCGAAAGGATGTGCTTTGCCACAAAATTTACAGGTCTTCGTCTTCCCCGCGCGGCTTTTCCTAGACTTGTCATCACGGCGGCTGTGATGACATCGTCTTCAATTGCAAATTTGTTGCCTCAGAACTCTTGCAAAGATCGATACACTTCGCCAGGGTGAGACTCCGTTCTTGTAGAAGCCGTTTGCGAGTGCGGTGATCTTGAATGCCCAGGACGATCCTGTCGCGAATGATCGAATCACGCATGCAGTCACAAAAATTGCATGTTTTCGCTGGTGTGCGAAGGGCGGTGACATAAGCATCAATGCTTTCGTTTTCCTGTTGAGTTCTGGAGTTGAAAGTGTACCTTTCAAAGGTTTCGTTCAGTTCGCCGATGGTGAATTCGTCGAACTTTTGTATTATCTTTGCCAGATCATGTCTATCGTCTGGAGTGTCGAATTGGAAGCCGTTAAAAATCTTTAACGCATCAAAACCGATGCAGTGGAGAAACAATGCGACTTTGTACGCCGGCGGTTTCAGCTCGAGTTGAGCAATGACCATGTAGTTGCCCCACATTTGTTTCCATACTTTCCAGTTGTCCGCCACATTCCCAGTCGTAACTAGTTTTCCAGGAGGCATTATCCCGGCCATCGCGCCAAAAGGCGGGTGTTGCACAACTCCCAGTTGTGTTAGGGTCTGTTGCGAAGAGCCAGGTGGTGGCGCTTCAGGCGCCGTTTCTGAGTCGGACATTACTACACCAAGATGATTTCAACTGTTTTTAACTCCGTAAGTGGTAGGCGGAGGATTCGTTATCCTATTTCGCTGCCACCATGTTTCAAGATCATGTATATCACACACACTGGAGGTACTTGAATTCTATCTTCTTGTGCAACAAAACACTCACGGTGGCCATGAAAGCAAGCAAGTCAGGACATTTTTTTATTAAGCTGCTCCAACTGAAACCTTCAAGGGAAGACTTTGTACTATTCCTCAGTTGTTACATGTAAGACACAAAAGCCAGCAAGTCCAGGTTTCTGTACACATAGGCTTTTGCACTGTCCATCAATCTCCTCTAAAAACTGATATTTGCCACATGCTTCGACACTATATGTAGGGAGTAACATGATAGTTTTTACTTTTGCAGCTGGATGGCTTGTCTGCAATGCAACCTAAAGCATATGTACTTCATCCTTTTTCAGTTTAGATATTTGCATGTTCTGTCTACTAAATAAAAAATAGAATGTAGCTCTCTATAGTGGTAAATATTTTAATTTTGAATGAATTAAACCGCTCTGTTTAATGTTTCCGATCATAGCAAATTGGACTAGAAAATGTATTGACATTAAGTTTTTTAAGGACACACCTGTTTATTGTAATTGTAATAAAAAAAATTTCTCATCACAAACCAGCTGTAAATGTAGCAAGATATAACACCTTCATACTTAAGGACCTCAGGATCTCTATGGTCAACCTTCTCAAGTATTTCAATCCCTGTTGATTGCTCGGTTAAATTAGAGTCAAAGTATAGGATATGGAAAAGGAGGATTTAATTTGTCGCAAGATTCATAGATAAATATGAAAGGGTTATCCCTGTGTTTCCATCAGAAGTGTCTTCTTGTATTACCTGAGACGATTTTTTGAGTGGTTTACTTGCGGTAAAGCAGATAGCGAAGCTGGATAGCGACAGACCTCATTTCTCTTTTTTTTAAGAACCGAACCCTTTTCTTCGCGATTTCCTTTACATATTTAAGCTTCTCAATTTCTTCTTTGATACTGACTACAAGATTGTGGCAAGCATGTCCAACATGGTTTTTATTCTATGCTATTCTGACGTTGAATTCTTTGACACCAGAACATTTCTATACACTTGCATGACCTCTACAATGCCTTCTTTTCTGCTTTTCACCCAAAACAAATAAATATAATGATTTATTTCTACTTCTACGTCTTTAAAACAACCACAGCAATCCATTTTTCCATGAAAATCAGTTTCCCGCCATTACAGCACGCAGCGGCTTTGGTTGGATGTTTTCCACGCATCAATAGGCAGTTTACAATTGAAAACTTTCAGCTGAAAAAAATAAACAATGGTGGAAACAATGTATATCTATCATTGTTATTTCCGGCCCAATCAATCCTTTTGTAAACCACACTTACCGTGTGGAGCTTATTGTTATCCTTTCAACAAATCTAAAAGGTTGAATTAATCCATTCTCCCAGTTGTCATTTTTTGGGTGAGTACATCATATAAGGGGAATTATTATCCCCAATATACACTATGTCCTATACTTTACATATCATAAGTCTCCATACATGACGTACCCTGGTCAGCCGAGTCAAACTGACCCAAGGCTCGAGATTGGCGACGAGCCGAAGAAGAAAGCTGAAATATGAGTGGTCAGCGGTGAAATAGCCCTAAATTGGTAAGTACGTCATGCATGGGGAATTATTATCCCTAATACATATTATGTCCTATACTTGAAATAAATATAAATGTCCCATACTGTACATATAATAATTCCTCATACGTGACTTCCCTAGGCTTTAATTGGTCGTGTAGAAAAAAATCATTTGTAGTTGCAGTAAACCATCGGGGTAAAAATCCCGAAATGTTACCAGTGTATTTCGCTAAGTAAAAAGTTAAGAAAATTTTTCAAAAGCGCTCATTGAACTTCTTTATATAGATATATAGAAAGGCATCGGTGGCATCAGGAAAGTCTTCAAGAATAATCATATTTACACTTTGTAACTTTCCGCATGACCAAAAATATTATCGTTACCGCTGGTTGTCCAAGGGTGCTTTTCGCTTGATTTAACTCTTACTTGAGAGATAACGCGTCCCATCCCATCCTATTTAGTATTTTAAGAGTCATGTACGACTTACGATATGTCCTCGTCAACCATATTCTTCACCCGCACGACCCTTTTTCTACCACGTTAACCCTCGTCATCCCGTAAAAAAAACCTTCTACGAAAAAAAGAGATTGGAGTCCAAACCCCGTAGAAAAATACAATTAACCACAACATTTTGCGTAAATCAAATCTCCGAAACTTACTGAACTTCAAAACAAAAGGGTAATAATTTGCGTGAAAGAAATCTCAAAAACAAATTAAAAACAACTCCGTAAAACAAAAACAAAAAAAGTACGCGAAAATGTCGATGTCAGTCTTCAATGCCATGGTTGGAGTTCTTTGACGTGATTTGCTGATCTGTGAAAATCGTGCGCCGCGCGTAAATACATGACAAATACCAAGTGGGGAGAGGAAGAGAAAAATTGTAATTTGAAATTTGAAAACGAAAGAGATTTTCAACAATCCCCAAGTTAGTCTCGTTTTGTATTGTTGATCCCAATCTTCCTTAGGTTAACCTTGTTCTACCCTGTTAACTCCCATCTATGCCATGTTAGACTACACATGCATCTAAACCAGGCTAACTTAGTTGATAACACTAAATTACCCTGTTAAGCCAGGTTAAACTTGTTCTACCGCGTTCCCCCTCATCTATCCTCAGTGAACCACGTTTCACCACGTTCACCCACATGTACAAGAAGGAGAAGTATACAAGGATATGTACGAAGAACTTTTGTCTAGGGCGAAGTTACCTAGTCTGGCAAATAGACGTCTACAAGACATACTAATTCTTATATATAAGGTTGAGAATTCAATAGCACCACAGCAAGTATGTAGCATTTCCTTAAAGCAATCTAAACTATATAATTTACGGAATAGCGATTTCGCTATATACCTAGTTTCAATTCAATAAAATACGGAAAGCACAGTTTAAGATATTTAAGACCCTATTTGTGGGGAAAAATAGAAAATGAACTCAGGAGCAAGACGAGCCTTGCAGCATTTAAAAAAGCTATTCGTAAAATGAACATTTTTAATATTTTAGATAACAGCTGTAATTGCACTGCATGTCAGTCTTAACCAAAGTCCGCATTCTTATTTTACCGATTTTTCTTTCAAATATCCCGTTTCTGATATATTTACAGATGAATTACTTAATATTTTAATTTTATATTTTATTTTGTATATTTCAATTTTATATCTAAATGTATATAGCTTATTATTATTACTCTTTTATATACATATTTAGTTAGAGTGTCCCCAATTAGTTGCAAAGCTAAATACAAAGACAATTAAATAAAGTTTATGTACGTATGTATGTACCCTGACTCAACCACGTTTTACCTTGTTGACCCCATCTAACCCAAGCAAACCAAGTCCTATTACGTTAACTCCATCTACCCTAAGCTAACCCGTTTACCCAAGTCTACACCAAGTAAGCCTAGTTTTACCAAGGTAAGCCTCGTCTACCTCAAGTTTACCACGTTCTCCCACGTTTATAGTTCGTCTTCCCTTAGTTACCACGTTCCACCTCGATAACCCAGATCTACTTTAGTAACTCATGGTTTGTATTTTGACTCACCCTACGGGCTAGTTTAAAAAAATTGGTAAAAAGTCATCAATACTACTCACTAAAACGTCCAATAAGATATATTTAGCGCGCGTACATCGACAAAATGGTAGCTTTCTCCAAGCCAGAACTCTTCAGGGTCGAAACCAGAGCAACAACGTTCTTTCTTGTAATTAGCTGCTTGAAGCCGGTATCCCCCCACCAGTTATTCCAGGCAACTAGTGATTTAATCTCATGTATAAATTCAAGTTATTGACTGTAATTGCGACGAGATGGCGCAAAAACATTGTCGCTGTGGTGGATTTGGTAAGAGCTCGTTGATGTAGTTATAATATTTCATTCAAGAAGCTTCGTTTTTCAACCTGACCTAAGGCGCCCTACTTCCTTCGCTCCGCTGTTACTATCGCGCTTCGTTTTCCTAACTGAACGCCAGGAAAAGGCCAAGATTCTTGTGAATTTTTAAGAAATACGTCTATCTTATACTGGTACCCAGATTGTACTGCGTCACTGTTCAAGCGCTTGGCGTATCTCATAACTTCAATATGAGACTACAGTACGTTTGTGTTTTCCTTGTCCAGCTCTCTAAGCATGAATTTTCGAAACCCTTCCACTCCCTAAAGTGATTAACAAGTAACTTCTTCCCATTGTTCGGATAGTTTTTGTTCATAATGCGTGACAAGTTCGCAATCTCGACCATACCGCCAACAAGGAGCCAAAATGACCCTGGGCTCGTGATTGGGTCAGACAAGTTCGTAACAAGTTAACATGGCAGCCTAGCCTTATACAAACTAGTATACCTCCTTTAAAAACGTCTCGGGTAATTTTCAGATTATGGTAGCGAGCGAGCGAGGAATTTTTTCCCTCTAAATAAAACCTGATTTTCGGATACCCTTCACAGTGAGTTATTTGGAGTCACAGAAATGTTTTCTATGAAATTGCACGTGGCTAAATGTAATTTAGGCAAAATTTAATTACAAGCCAACGCGGTCAGCGGCCTCCTCCTCAAGCGTGCGTGATCTGTGGGATGATCGCAGGGACCTTTTGTTATCTTGTGACTTACGTTGCATCTCACGCTGACATTTTTTAGCTGATCTTTGTGGATCTGTTGCTTAAGCGAATCTTTGCGGAATCTGGCTCCCAGCCCGTCCCTCCCCTTCTATGCATTGGTGAATATGGGGTCAGGTGAGTATTTTCCACTGAATTCTTTCAGTGTGACGGTGCCAGTTGGCGGCAGCATGCAATGGTGGTTGCCGCTCGCAGGGTTGCCCTGGATTCCTCCTTGTCATGCCTAAGGCGTTCAGGCTCCCGTCCAACCTTTAAAGCACCGGTTCCCAAGCTAATCTATTGGTGACGAGTTTAATTATCCAATAAACAGGTTTTGAGAATACTCAAACTAATCGAGTAGAAATTGCCTTTATCTAACAATAAATTCTTGTAACTAAGCAGCTACAGGGGAGAATTAACTATCGGATCTTGGGTTTTCAAGGGTTAAGTTCTGCAAAGACAAGATTACATCTAATCTTAAATGAAGCTTACAAATGTCAATTTTACATTTGTATACTTGATATACAAATATTTATTCACAAATGCTCAATGTCTTTTAACAGTTTCTGAATCACGTTAAGTTGCCACACGCTTATATGAACGGTCTACATCCACAAACGTGTAAACATTGGAGACTACACAGGAAAAGTATACTTGCACTATAAATATTTATTTACAACTGCTCAATATTTTTAACAGTTCCTGAATCACCTTAAGTTGCTTCACGCCAATATGAACAGTCTACATGTACAAACGTGTAAATATTGGAGACTACACAAGAAAAGTAACTCTTGCTTCCATACAATTAGTTAAACATCTGTATGATGTTTTATTCGGTTTGGTGGCGCTCAATCAAATCTTATCTGAACTCAGTATTGGTGGAAAGCATCAAGCCTCTGAAAAACAAAAGCGTTCTCTTTATAATCATAATTGTCTTTGCATTTAACTTGGTATTTCTTAAAAGGAAAAAATAATTTAAAAAAAATTATAAACCATGTCTGCAAAGGAACAACACTCATATAAAGTGCGCGAGATGTCATGGAGAAAATTTATGAGTTTAAGTGGTAATTTCACCAGCCTTTTCGCGACCATTTCGTAGTTTCGCTCTCCTAAAGCTCTCAGAAACCATTTGTTCGGAATCCTGAGTCCAAACATACTCACTCTACAATCTTCTCAAGTATCGGAGCTCCCAAGTTACCAAATTTGAAATACCAAGTTCGTCCCCTCGAAAATTATACGTAAGTATTAACGAGGTACTACATTTTGACTTCAAACTAAGTAATTAAGTAAGTAAGTAAGTGAGTACACGATCTAACCGTGCAAGAATTGCCATCAATTGTGCTAATATTGGATATGAACGCCGCATTGAAACAATATTTCAGCCACACACGACGAAATCACAAACCACATAGGACAAAGACACCTATCGAAATAAAAATAATCACAATTTGAGTCAAGGATGCCTTTTTATGTAGCCCCCAATTGTTTTAAGAGATTTCCAGTGAGGCTTCATTGCGGCCAGGCTGCTAAGCAATATTCAAAGGATAGCGTCTTAAGTGGAATATTTTTAAAAAATACGATTTTTCGAACGGTTATAAATATCATTCAATGGCGGAGATAAAAATGTGGTTTCTGGAGCAAACGTCTTCCTTGTTTGAGCCATATGGTTATTATAAATTGTGGACGCCGTAACTCCTCGCATAAATGCAACCAAATTTCAATGAAAGTAATAATATGTCGGGTTGCGTGTTGCAGGTACAAAGTTATAATAGCTACCAATACTTACACTGAAGACTCGTACTGCTTTGATCCTCCTCGGAAAGAACTGGTACCGAACTTGTCAGAGCAGGAAGCCTTGTTCCTAATTTTTCTCCCCTTTTACGTTCAATCTTGAAAGTGGGAATAAGTGGTTACAACATTTTCAGAGTATTTGTATTTGAGTATTTCAAAAACTTCACTTTTCACGACGTAAAATTTCATCAATGGGTTGCTAACTGTTAATTTCGTGAAACTGTTGTTCCATTCTGTTTCTGCTATAGGGGAGCTCCATTCAAATCGCCTGTTTCCTCCTCATCGCTTCTTTCTTTAGCACGTCTGGTCTTCTCGGCCATTGAATTCTGGTCAAAGTTTAAATTAAAAACGGGACTTCGTTGCTGAATATTCTGCCTTCGCGACTCTCGTACAGTGCTACATAAGTTACCAACATCTCGCTCACGTCCACCTGGTAAAGTGGAAAAAAAAGAAAAAAGGAATTAAGCATGTGAATATCAGAAAATCTTTAACAGACACAAACACGTTATTCTACTCTAAAGTTAATCGACTTCATGCACTCGACGCCGTCAAAGCTGTTTACCTTAAAAAATCATTTATTACCAAACCAAAAATTTGTATGCTGCATATTTTCAAAAACAAAGAAAGAGAATATGAAAACTTTAGGGATATCTCTGACAGCCATATTGAGTGACAGGCCTTTTCACCAATTAATCAAGTTACTTGTAATCCTCCATATCAGCAGCATGAAGCGTCCTCTTATTCGCTCCCCCTTTGCCTCAATCAATAGAAAAACTATTGTAGTAGTTTTCTTGCCAATCTCTGTTACCTGGCAAAAAGTCTTCTTCGCTGCTACTTCCTCCTCTCTCCTGATCATTGATTTTGGGCTTTGGTTCGAGCCGATCAAGGTCTTGACCTGCAAATTCCATGCAGGCTTTCATCAAAGATACGTCTTTTGCTTCGTTTTTTCCTTCGTATTTCGCGACACCCACAGGGCCACAACACTCCTCTGATGTGGGGTTTTCATCTAAATCTGTTATAAAGTTGAAAACAGAGAATATGCTGAAATCTTTTAGCGAGAATTGTGATCATGAAGAATATGTTCGACGTTCTTGAAAAGATAAGTCTTTCGTGTGTGTGTTCATTAAATCCTTCAAATCAAATCTTCAATTATTAACTTAGACATTTTATACGCAAATTAATAAAAAATCTATTTTTCAAAATAGTTTAAGCTCGTAACTAACTATAATACACGTAAGAAATTTGGGGTTGAAAAAATGTACAGTGACAAATTTAAACGCATAGGATTGCAACCTATTAAATAGCACTGACTTCTTGTCATATTTTCCTTTGCTTTGGTTGATTGTTGTCATCACTTTGGTTTTGATTTTACGACACTAAATTGAAGTGCTCTAAACTACCACAAATATTACTATTTGGGCACCAATAACAACTGGACCACATACTTTCCGCTTTTACTGCACGCCTTACACATACCGATTTTGTTTTTATTTAGAAGATATACTCCTATATATTATTTTCTATTTTCAAATTCAAGTTATATTTACATAACGTGTAATTTTCCTTTTTTTCTTCACACGACCCCACAATTTCGAATTCATAGCTTAAAATATTATCAAGTATAAATAAAAGTCATGTATCTATCTATCCATAGAACATTCTGAAATCTATTTACGTGTAAGTAATCAGGATGACAAAAATAGGGTACCTTCACTCGAAGTCGTTGAAGAATTGTCTTCAGAATAGGAGCTTTCGGAACTAGAAGATTTACAAGACGATGACTCTTCATCACCTTCATATCCAGTCTCTTTGATCTCATCAGTGTGATCTGTTTGGACATAATGTGGTAATTTAATTAACACAAATCATCATATAACTTTACTTAAGTTTCAGCGTATTCAGCATCTCAGTGCTGATTGGCACATTGCAAATTTATATAACAGTAGAGTAATAGAATATGAGGTACTATATCAAACGTGTACACTTTCCTATTGGTGCCTCTCAAAATAAACAACCACTCGTGGATTTTATCATAATTCTGTTTAATTATGATAAAAAATTCTGAAATTTATTTACAAGTAAGTAATCAGAATGACAAAAATAGGGTACCTTCACTCGAAGTCGTTGAAGACTTGTCTTCAGAATAAGAGGTTTCGGAACTAGTAGATTTACAAGACGATGACTCTTCATCACCTTCATATCCAGTTTCTTTGATCTCATCAGTGTGATCTGTTTGTACATAATGTGATAATTTAATTAACACAACTCATTATATAACTTTACTTAAGAGTCGGCGTATTTAGCACCTCAGTGCTGATTGGCACATTGCAAATTTATATTACAATGGAACAATGGAATATGAGGTACTATATCAAACGTGTAAACTTTCCTATTGGTGCCTCTCAAAATAAACAACCAAAATTTTTGTTAAATTAAAAAATTAAAAAATTAAAAAATTAAAAAATTAAAAAATTAAAAAATTAAATTAAAATTTTTTTAAATTATGATAAAAAAATTCTGAAATTTATTTACATGTAAGCAAGCAGGATGACAAAAATAGGGTACCTTCACTCGAGGTCGTTGAAGACTTGTCTTCAGAAAAAGAGGATTTGGAACTAGAAGATCTACTAGACAATGACTCCTCATCACCCAAATATCCAGTTTCTTTGATTTCATCAGAGTGATCTTTTTGGACTTAATGTGATTATTTAATTAACACAAATCATCATATAACTTTACTTAAGTTTCGGCGTATTTAGCATCTCAGTATTTATCTACTGATTGGTACATTGCAAATTTAATCTAAAGTAGAGCAACATAAAATTTAGTATCAAACGTGTACACTTTCCTATTGATGCCTCTCAAAATAAACAACCACTCGTGAATTTTGGTAAAATTTTGTTAAATTATGATAGAACATTCTGAAATTTGCTTACATGTAAGCAAACAGGATGACAAAAATCGGTTACCTTCACTGGAAGTCGTTGAAGATTTTTCTTCAGAATAGTAGGTTTCGGAGCAAGAAGATTTACTAGACGATGACTCTTCGTCACTTAAATATCCAGTTTCTTGGATTTCATCAGTGTGATCTGTTTGGACATAATGCGGTTATTACATATAACTTAACTTGAGTTTCGGCGTATTATGCATCTCAGTGCTGATTGACACATTGCAAATTTAAACAAAAGTAGAGCAATAGGATATTTAGTATCAAAATTCTAACTGTTGAAAAGCAAACGAGTTAGTTGTTAGTTGTTAAGGCAGTGTAACAGCAGTAGGCTCAATATCTAGCAGATCCCTAGGGTCTCATAATCGAATCGAGTCGAAGCAAAATAAAGGACTATCACGTAGTAAATCCGGTTAAGTGGCAAAGTAGGAGATTTTAACCAGGAAATTCAGAACCTCGCCGAAAAAAAACCCCCTTAACCATTCACGAACGCCACGCCCATGTACTGGAAAGTGTTCACTTACTAAGTCGTCTTAGTGCTTCCTCAGCACCTATGACAAGCCAATCGACTGTTGGGGGGAATTCTTGATCGTCCCAATTCTCGTCAGAGAATCTACGCATTAATTTATAAGCTAGAAAGACTGCCCTTCGTGCAGCAGGGGAGTTGGAGAACAATTCAAACAGTTGTTGGCTAGTATAGTTTGTTGCTATACGAACCAGTACGCGTAACACTTGGTTTGGTGGTGAGAATCCTAGAAAAAGTGATAAAGAGTTTGATATGTTTACCAAAAAAAAAAACAAATTTGCAATGTTCAAAACATTTTAGAACTGAGGCTTTGATAGGAATTGGTTTGAATTCAGGAGTAACATTTAATCTTGTTGTCTTATCGTCAGGATGAGAGTAGTCCTGGGAAGGACTGTAGTCGGTTACAGTGTCTTGCGTTTCAACAACCTCAGCGAAAGGATATATCAGGGTCAATTGAGGAGTTTTTCATCGTCAGTCGGGTCCAGAGTTCTTGAAAACGAAACAGCCAGTTTTACAATGATGTTATTTGCTGGTGACTAAATTAAATATGAAAGTAGCTGAGTAATGGGCTTCATTTACAAGGACAACGCCTAGCATTAACTACAATTAATTACAAACCTGTAGCCACCTTTTATGGTACAACAAGCCTTTGTTATATATGAGAAAAAATGCTCCAAATTCCTGGACAACCGATCCTAAAATGACAGCCATCTTTCTACAAAGGCCTCTATCTTCTGCCCCTAAGATGGCCGTTACGAGGAGGTCAGACTGTTTTTTAAACTCGTCATGTTTTGGAAAAGAAAAAAACCTTCGAGCTCAAGAGTACACTCGCGATCTTAAAGTGTTCAAAATTGTTGCAAGAACGTACCTGCCGAAGGTTGCGATAAATCTTGTCCTTCACTTCTCTTCGTTTTATCAACCATAAAATCAGCCCAATGACAGAAAAACTCACTTTGTAATTTTGGCTCTCTAACCAGTCGTAACAGTGTTTCCCTATCTCGATCGTAATAGTAGAAATCAGTCTTTCCGAGAATTCTTCCAGTCGAAGAGTGCACTGTAACAATTACTTTACCAGGCGCATCAGATGCTGAGACAAAATTTAAAAAAAAACAGTTAGCAATAAATAACGTTAAATGCAGGAAACGTACACGAAAAAAGGAAGTATAAAACATTTTTCTAGTATTTAAGCCATAAAAAAACTTACCCGGAATTCGACCAATCAAATTAAAAGCATTAACTCTTTTCAAGTCAGCAACAGTCTTCATTCCGAAATTTGCCCAAGCAGACTCTACTTCTGGTGGAAGAGCCTGCCCAAAAACTAAGAGAAATGACAATCCACCCTGAAAGAAACGCATGCCACTGGTTAAATTTATCTTGGATAGCCAAGTTTTAGATGAGGAGTACGCCCCAGATGGTTTCTGGGACATACTTTTACTTTCAGTGGCAACCCCTTGAACGCAAGCACACAAAATCGAAAGATAATTACACGTTCGGAAGAGTATACATTCAAGTCAAGTTCAAGAAGGAGGTATACTACTGTAAAAAAAAAAAAATTCTTTACCTCAATGGGCCCATTATTTGGAAAGATTTCCAATATATCTAAAAGCAAATAAAAGTTACTTGATTAAGTCGGTGTTAACAGGGTATTTCAATGGCCAACTCAAGTTTACAGACACTCTAATCGCTGTTAAATGGGTTTGCAAACTTATACAGTAGAACCTCCATCCAGGAGACAATCTCTGGACAAGAAAGTGCCCCTTGGAATAGAGGTGCTCCCTCAGTGAAGGAACAGCTTCAGTGGAACCTTTATTCAGGGGACTTATAAAAAAGTGTCTTCAAAAGCAGGGCCTTTCTTCAATGAAGATAAACTATTCAGTAAAACGTCCATTCAGGGGACAAGCTGAAGACAAGAGAAAATTTTCCCTGAACAGAAGTGTTCCTTCAGTGATGGTAACAGATACAAAGATGAAAGAGAAAGATATTAAGTCTGGATCCGTGGCTGCTTCCCTTGAGGAGAGTGTTGCTTACATAGAAGTTTCCCGAATAAAATTTTTGAATTATTATAATACTTCACGAAAGTGAAATAATCTTGCACGTCAACTTAGGTAAGACAAATATGTACGTATACCTTCAAGCTTTTCAGATAAATCTTCTGACGACAGAGGCTGTAAAATAACAATATGTAATGAATTGCAAATAGTTAAAATTTCAATTCTAGGTTAGATCTAAAGACAGATTGGTAGAATGTAAAATGCAATTTAGAAGACAAGAAATTATTTTCTATTAAGTAATAATGTAGAAGCAATAATTAACTGTTTAAAAATAAACATCACAAAATGGAAATTCTTTACCTCAATGCGATCTTTTTCTAGGAGGGTTTCTAAAATAACCAAAAACAAACAAAAGTTACTAGCTTAATTTGGTGTGAAAAGGGCATTAGATAAAATTCCTTAAGTTTGGAAAAATCACAAAAAATAAGGAATTTTCCACTAAGCGTCAAAAGTACTCCTGAGTTGCACAGATAGAGCAGTTTTCAGAGTATCAAAAGTGACCATGGTTTGCTTTGGTTTTGCTTTACTTCCGTGATTGGTCCAGAAAACTCGCTCCTTCAACTCAACCCAATCAAATGCAGAAACTAACACCAATCACAACTTGGTTACTCGGCGTTTTCCCGCGCTTTAAGCCGGTTGCCTGTTTTTACGCTGAATTTCCATTGGTTAATAATTGTATGTTAATCTTTGTTCTGATCGATGGTTGGGTTTGGGTTTTTCGACGCTTAATTCAAAACTTTTCTAATGCATTACTGCGCATGTGATTGATCTGAAAAACTTTCACCGCGATAAAACGTAGCGCTAAAACCAGTAGCAGCTTGGATAGTTTACGTTTTTCCGCATTTAAGGTGTTTGTTATTGAATGTAATAGAATTTACTCTTAGTTCCTTTAGATATCTAACTTTGTTCTGATTGGCCTTTGAAATTCACTTAGCCTTTTGTTTCGCGACACTCAATAGAAAAGCGCCTTCCTTCCAGTGAACTTACCTGAATCCATCCCGACATCTATTCGTTCCTGTAAAAAAGAAAAAAACACGAGGTCACGTAACAGGCTACTTCGAGCATATTCATCTTCGTTTAAACATTTATATTATTATTATAAAATTGCAAAGACGTACTCATACTCATAATCAACACGTTTTACTACTTAGAGCAAATGATAGTTGGAAAGGAATTCAGAAGGTCATTCCTGAGTCTCCCAAAAATTTATCACTTAATCGCATTAAGTTTCTACGCTTGTCAGTCGAAAGTAGGTCCCTCAGTACACCACGAAATTGTTGTAAATCCTACAGCAAGGGATGGATTGTTTAAAATTTGAAGGGAACGGGGAGGTTGAGTATTTGAAAATAATTCATGAAAAAAAAGGGAAATTTTTACCTCTGTGGGACCCCGAGTGGAAAGGCACCCTGCGCGATGAAAAAACACACACAAGTTAGACTTGTCCAAGATAAAATGCTCTAACTAAAAAACAAATAAACGAACACACGCAAAAGTCAAAACTTTTACACAAAAATAGAAGATTTTTAATCGATTGTCGAGACTCATCCAGGATTGCACTAATAATGTTTCACTAAACCCACAATTCTTCTTAAAAAAACACTCACACCAAGTTCGAATGAAGAACTATCACCAAAAGAGGCCTGATCTCTCAGGTTTCCAGTGCCTGAGGTTGGATGTATGTTCTAGGATTAACTCTCAGCTCCTTTAGATATCTAACTATGTTCCGATTGGCCTTCGATAATAATTTGGTTTCGGTTTCAGGACACTCAATAGGAAAGCGCTCTCTTTTAAGTGTACTTACCTGAGTCCTTCTCGCCCTCCTCTCGTTCCTGTAATAGGAGAAGAAAACAAGTTAGCTAATATTCTACTTCGAGCATATTCGCATTCTGCGTTATGAAACTCATGTCAAAGACATACATGTACTCGTAATTCAACAGATATTAGAGCTTCAAGCACGGAATAATTAGGAAAACGTTTAAAAGGGTATGTCACCCAAACACTTCATATTTCTTCATATTGAGTTTAAGCTTCTGTGCCTGTCAGTCGAAATTGATACTACAGCGAGTGATGGATTACTTTCAGTTTGAAGGAAATAAAGAGATTGAGTATATCAGAGAGAAAAAAACATAGAAAAAACTAAAGAAAATCGAGTTCTGAGCAGAGAGAGGATTAAAAGAGAGCTTAAAAAACCGATTCAAAGAAACTTGTATAATAAACTTCACACAAGAGAAATCAGGCTAAAAGGTTTTTTATGTAGTGGACGTCTGCTGAAACATCAGGAGAAACGGTCAATGAGAGCGGGTTTGGAAAAAATCATTTTTGTGCGAGGTAGTAAGTAACCCATAATTAGCTATCTTCCTTATAATCTCATAAATATTAGCAAAAACAAACCTTTTGAGCTAAGGCGACCTCAATAAGTATATCGAGTCCATTCTGACAAACAACCAAACAGAACAAAGATAAAATTCCTGACATCCTGATGAATTATGACAGTCAAGAGAAAGATCCAAGATAAATCCAAAACTTACTTCAACGCTTTTCGATTGAGTGTCTTAAAACCAAAACAAAGTTATCACAACGGCCAATCAGATAGAAGGAAAATAATTTTAAGAGCCAATGAGAACTCAAATTAGATACAATCAAACCGCCTAAAGCGCGGGAAAACGCGGGTGACCAAGTCGTGATTGGTTTTACTTTTGCGTCTGATTGGTTGAAAGAGTGGCGTGAGATTTTTGGGCCAATCACAGAGCGAAGTAAAGCAAAACTAAACTAATCTCGGATTACTTAGGACACTCAATTGAAAATTGGCCTTTTATAACGTCCACACTAAACCATTTAAACCACTAATTTGTAGGTGAGGTACATACACGAGAGAGGAATCACTTTGGATTGTCACGATTGTTGCATCCAAACTCCGCCAGTTAAAAGTACATACGAAATCATGACGTTGTCGCGTTTTGAGAATCCAAGTAGTTTAACTTTAATTGGTAGTTTCGGAGCATTTTTTGTTTTTTCAAATTTACGACTCAGTAGGAACCCTTTCCAAACGAGTAGGCAAAGCCAGGCAAGCGTGATTCACAACTGCATAGCCAATTTTTGAGAAAGAAAATTTCAAAGGTCCACGAAACCCTCTGTTCTAAATTACCAAAAGCGTAAACCTTTTCCTAGAGAGTGAGTTTTGGTTGTAGTAAAACACTTTCCAAACGAGGTTTAAGTAAAACAGGGGTGATTCACAACTGCATACCCACCAAAAGTCCAGCAGGTTCTTACTAATGATATTTTAAACCATTCTTTATGGTAAGTGTTCCACTTTTTTAATGACATATACCTCTTTTGCAGGCATTGGTTTAGAGAACAAGTTATGATGTCAAGGATATTACTTCGACGTACCTGAATCTCCTCCATAACAATGTAAAGGGCTGAATTTCCCTTTAGGATTCTTCTTATTGTTTTTCCATCCCATACACGAGGATCCCCATGAAATTGAAGAGTACTATCCGTGTTACTGATTGATGCGCAATAAAACCTGCCCAATAGAAAAAAAAAAGCATTATTTCTCAAAGGGAATTTTAATGGTAGGGAATTTATTCTTTTTCTTTCTTTGCCTCCTGGGTCATAACCCTGGAACTGGCCATTAAAAAATCAAATCTTGAGATTCCTTTGGAAAAAACTGGAACAATCTGTTATCAGTTGTGGAGTCAGTTTTACAATTACCTCTGACCTCAATGAATAAAATTTTATTTAACTAAAATTCCTACTTTAAATTTCCTTTACCTTCCACTTAAGTCAAAGGCAGGAAATGTTTCTTGAATTGTTTTCCTCACTGCATCTTCTGACATGCTTTTGGAGAATTGGACCTGTTTTTTATACTGTCCAGTCTTTCTCATTCTTGCCATCTCAATAGTGGTTGGCATAAGTATTTTACCATCCCTTTGCGCTAAGTCCTCATTCTTCAACAACATCACATTTTTAGCATAAGTGTCCCCTCTCGTGGCTGCACCAGCTGGAGCTACATGTATGTCCTGAGAAGTGTTTTCTGAAAAACAAATAATGTGTAATTTGAGATAATACCATTACATGGCATTACCCAACTTCAATGCACTCAAATTTTACAAGTGATTAACATCCTTGTATTAACAACTTGCTAGCAACTTCACTCTAGATGCCTCTTGATAGTGACTTACATGTAATTACCTTCTTATAAAAGAATGAATAACCAGTTAAACTTAAGATTAAAGTGAAAAATTCATCCTGGGGATAACCCAAGGACTAGAAAAAGAGTCCCTTAGAGAGAAGTGCTCCCTTAGCAAAGAAACAAATTCAGTGGAACCTTAATTTAGGGGACAAATAAAAACCACAAAAAGTGTCCCCAAAAGGTGGGCTTTACTTCAATGAAGGTAACAGATACAAAGGAACTTCCATTAAAGGAATAAGGAATAAGCTGAAGACCTGAGAAACTTTTCTCTGAATAGAGGTGTTCCTTCAGTGATGGTAACAGATACAAAGATGAAAGAGAAGTCTATTTCATTACATCTGGATCCAAGGCTTGCTTCCCTTGATGAAGGTTTTACTTAAATAGAGGTTTCCCCACATAAAAGCTTTGAATTATTAGAATACTTTTAAATTAAGAAAGTGAAATAATCTTGCAGGTCAGCTCAGGTACAATACACATGCATGTACCTTCTGACTTTTCAGATGTTCCAAATCCTGAATCTTCTGATAGCAGTGGCTGCAGAATAAAAATATGTAATGAATTGAATATGGTTAAAATTTCCATTTTTAGCTTAAATCTAGAGACAGATTTTGAAATTGTAAGATGCAATTTAGAAAGCAACTGTTTTCTAATATCATAATCATGATGAAGCAATAATTTACTGGAGATTGGAAAAGGGCTAATAAGTAATACCATTACCTGTTGTTTCAGCACTTGTTCAATAAAATAGAGGGAGGGACTGAGATTTTTTTTAAGGAGTGTTGAACACCAATTTTAAATTTTGGCTAGGTGGAGGGTACTTCATCAAATGGGGTGCTTGCTTGAGGGGAGGTGCTTAGTTAAGGATTTATGATTTAATTATCAGGCCCATACTAGACATTTCTTAATCTATAGCTTTATACCTCAAGATCAGAAATTTGAAGAGTGGAAAGTCCACTACTTTCTTGGTCTCCAGCCACAGCAATCGATTCTGCTGACTCTTTCTCTGGAACTTGAGAAGAGTCAGTTTTCTCCACATTAGGCTCTTCCTGATCAGGAGATTTGAAGTTTTCTGTTTCCTGCTGGCCCCCTTCTACATCGGTTCTGTCACCTTCTGCCCCTGTCAAAGACAACTGCTGAGATATTTCAGTGGTGTCCACAGTTGTTAGGGCCTCGGAACTTCCTAAAACCGATGCCTCTGAAGTAACTATGTTCTGTGGTTGCTGAGAAGATGCACTCGAACTATGTAAGCTCTGTAGCTGAGGGGTAAGTGTTGAAGCTTGTAGTGCTGTTTGCAACCCTGGATTGTTAGAGGTAGGCAAAATTGGCATCTCCAAGCTTTGTTGAGCAGGTACTGTGTTTAAGGCATTATTTCCAGTTGTTGGTGCTGGAGCAACAGGAATCCCTCCGGCAGTAGGAAACACAATAAACGGGATTCCTCCTGAATATAAGAAGAATAACTGAAGCTAAAACAGGGTTTTCTCTTTCTTAAATCAAGATTACAAAAAAATATACAAAAAAGATGCTTTCCTTAGACTGTGCACCATTGACAACATAGTTAAATTTCTTATACATTAATCTTCTAATTAGGAATTCTTTATTAATGAATTGCATATGTTCAACAGTAGAGGTAAGATGTGTATAGTAGACTGGTTTGTAAAGCTACACAAAATCAGCAGTCTTGAAGCCATTTGTAACAATGCCACTCCCCTTTGACAGAAGAATCTAAGACAATTTGCTGCCACCTATAATTGTACAGACCAAAATTATTCATAAATGCAAACAGGAAACATTGTTTTGTTGACACCTTACCCATTGAAAGAGACTGCTGTAATGGATTATGCAGGAATAATATTGTATTACTTGGTGCCACAAGTTCTTGCTGCACATTCATGAGCGGTCTTTCATTTGATAACTCAACATCACTTTTCTCAGCACTTTTTTCAGCCAGACCTGATGCCAAATTTGAATAACTTGAAATGTTTTCGGATAAGCTATCATGTGTAGCGATTACAACAGGAAGCTTTTCAGGGCTTGGTTGAGCAGGACCATCTATTGATGATAGTGACATTTTCACTGGGCTCTCACTGCTTGTCAACTCTCCACATGTAATCTGGTCAAATGAACATTTCGTTCCTAACTGCTCTCTAATGGAAGATTCATATCCCAAATCCTCCACCACCTCTGATTCTCCAAAATCCCCATCCTAAAGGAAATAATACATGTGTCTTGCCATGACATCCAAAATTGGTGACAGCCAAGATATTTGTAATTAATCCCTTCTTTAATTTCTGTAAGAGAACCATTCCATGACCAACACACTTGTGTCTAGTCAAGACTGACACACTACCAACTTAAATGGTGTGAGGGGATTATCCCAATACCCTGGATTTGATGCTACTCAGCCACAGATTACCCCAAAATTTATTTTTTGGGCTTCCCTGACAAGTTGCTAGTACACATTTACACCCCTTGTATGAGTGGAAGGAACAGGGAACAGGGAAGTGGGACGTGCACTTCTCCCATTACTGGGGTCCAAGTTCATCTTGTATGGGTAGAATTTTATGTTGGTACTAGTCCTTGCTCCATTAGGTTTTTATCTGGGTTTTCTGCTTTTCCTCCCTACACAAAAACTAACACATAGCAATAAGGCCTAAAAACAATGGATTGGGAGCTAATTTGTGGAATCGCCACCATCTAAATCCTACTGACTTTCTCATGTTGCTCATGTTGTATCTCTTCTATATCATGACCTATAGCCCCGTCACACCAAAGCTTAAACAAGTTTTAAAGGTGTTTTGTTAAACAAAGTTTAGACTTTTTTTCTCAGGGAAGCTGCCTAAACTAATGTTTTTCATCTTCAAATGTAGCAAAATGAAAATACATGCCAGTGAATGTTATGGCTCAAACCAGGATGTTTCCATTTGCAGTCCTGTGTGCTCAAACATTAGACCATTACATGAGATCCAGAATGGTGGCCTTGTCCTTATCACTCCCACAATTTAAACATCAATTTTCTGCACTGTTTCCCAGACATTTCTTATAAGTCTACCCCTAAAAATTTGGTGTCAAATCAAGTAATATCCCATAGTTGATATTGTTCTTTCTTCTCAACAATTTTATGCTTGAAATGCACAGATACTACAGTATAAGAAGATATTCCTATGTTCCCTACTCTTGGGAACAAAAGGGTTCAGGGATCCACATTGCCACCTTAAAATCAAAACACAATCATCGGTAAACTTCTATTGATGCCCCTGCTCCCATACCTCTTCTACAAAGACATAAAGAGCTGAGTTTCCTTTAATCACTTTCTTGATGAAGCGTCCATCCCAAATGCGACGTTCACCATGAAATTCCAATCTTGTTCGAAAGTCAACCACTGAAGCACAGTAAAACCTGGGAGAATAGGAATTAGTATTAACACATAGAACTTTGACAAAGTATTTGGACTTACTGACAGACTGACTAAACGACCAACTGACTGAGTTATTTATTTTTCTAGCAGCAACTTCTCGGCTTAAGATGCATCAGGCTTACTCTGAAGATAATTGTAGGACTTACATGCATATAGCACCTGGTGTAAGCAATTTTCCAATAACTAAACAAATTACACAAAAAAATTTTTTACCTCCTGTCTCTCAAAATTGGAAAGTTCGCCATTAATATGGATTTTACATCAGTTTCTGTCATGTTTGAAGAAAAGTGTATATTTGTTTTGAATTGCCCTTTATCTGGTTTTTTGAGTATAGCCATTTCAATGGTGTTTGGCATAAACACCATACCATTCCTAACTCCAACATTTCCCCTCGTTAGAACCACAACGCTTTTTCTTGTAGTTGCATCAGGGTCTTTCCTCATCCGTTTTGCCAAGAGAGGTTCAATAGTAACATTCTCCGTATGATTCTCAACAGAATTTGCAGCCATTGTTAGTAGAAATATGTTCTGTTCAGAGATACAAGAAGGAGAGAACCACAGTCAGTGTCCCCTTGGAAATCATGTTACCTTTAAAACCCAAGATCCAATTGGTAATTTTCTCCACCTACTGACTTAAATTCCCTTGTAAACCTCTTGTGCACCATTAATTTCAATCACTTCCTTGACTCCAAAGATCTGATTAGTAATTCTTTAACCCTTTAACTCCCAAGATCTCATAAGTAATTGTCCTTACTGTCTGCCATACAGTTCTTGTGATGTTAGTTTTGAGAATTTGGACAGGATCAACTAATAATCCTCTAACTGATACTTTTCTGTATTCTCATCACTTGTCTGCTTGACATTGTATTGATATTGTAAGGAGAAATTTGTCTTAGTCACTTATGGGAGTTAAAGGGTTAAACTTAAAACTTAAAACTTGGGTAACAGTACTTGGTGTTAAATCAGGGAACACATTCAGTTGACTTGTAAGTCTACTCTTTTCCTCTATTTACTTGGTAATGTTATGGTATTACACAGGGAAGTTACAAATTAACCTAAAGGCCTTGAGCCTGTTTGTCAAAAATACTAGTGACTTAACAAGCCCGCTGCTATATTTAAAAATCAGAATCAAAAGAATAGAGAAGCAGGGCTTGGCAACATAACCAGTCAATTTTGGTTCTTTAGGTAATAGGCTATTTGACTTATTTTCAAAAAAATTTGAAAACCCTCCTTGAATAAAGACAAAGTTATTTTACAGGCCTATTAAGTTATAGAGAGCTTCAAGAGAAGGGACTCCTAGTAAATTCCAGTGACTTTACTGCAAGAAACAAATTATACTTTATAAATTAACTTCTACTTCATAAATTACCATAACATACAATTACTTTACTTCAAGAGTTAGTTTTAATTTAGCGTCCAAGGCTGTGCTCTAGCGGCGCCCGGTCGCCTCAGGCGACTAACATTTGGTCTCGGGCGACTGAAAAAGAAAAGCGGTCGCCCGTCCGGGCGCATAGATTTCGGCTTGTGTGAAAACCCGAAACGAAACCAGCAAACGTATAGAAATGGTACGGAACGGAACAAAAAGAAACTCCATCGTGCTCCCCGGCTCCCGTTAGCCCGAAAAGCAAAAGCGCTGAAAGCGCAGTGCAATCAATAGCCTGTGTGATCTGTACATTTAGGTTAAATATTAAGTTAGGTCATGGGTCCTGTTTCGCTTCGGTGGTCTCTCTTCCGGTTTATTAATATAGTACATGACCCAGGCTTCTTGTCCATTGAACGACGCGATAAAGCGAGCAACTGATTGTAACTAACATTTTATAATTTTACTTGCTAATTTGATGACATTTGCAGAACTAAAAAATATTCGGCAGGACAACAACAAGAATTGTTCACGCTCAAAGTTGTCGTTGTGTGTTATGTTATGTAATATTGTTTCACATGATTTAGCACGAAAAATTATTTACTTGCCCGTGAGAAACTGCACGATTTTTGCACAAGCATGTGTTGAAGATCTAATTTTTCTATTGAAGTGGTTGATGCTTATATTTAATTTTTGTGTTTCAACAGTTTCAATAGTGGAGCGCGTGATTGATAAAACGAAACCGTTCTTTATGCAAATTTGTGTTTATTTAATTAGCTTCGTCCGTGGCATGCAAGATGTTTATCAGCACCATATTTGGCGACTCGCTCGCAATTGTAATCATTCGATCAAAATTTGACGAAAATGAAACTTTAATATAAGAACCCTTTTGTTTCGAAACCTATTTTAGCGGTCTTCAAAGAAATTTTCTTAGCGGTTTTAACATGTATGTGGTTAATTTATAACAGGATTTCATGATATCACAAGTTCGCCAAAATAGAGTATGTGACTGCTAAATATAGTTAAACTTGTCTATTGTCAGTAAATACGTAAGCAGGCAAGAATAATTATCACTGAGATACTGCCTATCCCATAAAACAACAGTAAAATGCTAAATTCAATGATTATTATTTTCATGGTTAATTATTAACTGATTCCACTATAAAATGGATTATTAATTAATTAATCAATTAATTATTGATTAATCAATTCGGGCGACCAACCTGGAAGGCTGGGCGACCTACTTGTCATGGTTAGGTGCCCGAAGGGCGCCCTGAAAATTTTCCTAGAGCACAGCCTTGAGTGTAATGCTTTCGGTAGTTTACTGTGCTCTTCATTCTGACAAAGCACACGGCTTCAATCAAAGTGAGTGTTGAATCAACCCTTATGATGTATAGATATTAACTCTGAAGTGCTTCATGATTTGACATAAAAAAAATCTTCCATGGAAGAGGTGAAAAAATTTGTGTTCCTGATTTTAAATGTCTCATGTCTCATTACAAACTTATGTTCCTGCATGCACATAAGATGCCTTTATGCCTTTTGCTTACACCATCTTGAATAAAATTTTGGGAATCTTTGCTGACTACCATAAACCCCAGTACATAACAATGTGCAAAATTTTTCCACTTTGCAATCCCCAATCTTCTCTGATGGTTTGCCCCTTGAGCACTCTCTAATCTTCTCTTTGGTCCACAACCCTAAGAAATGCTATTCTACAGACCTGGTTTGTACATTTTGTTAAATTTTCTCTTGGAAAATTTATTTCTTTTCTTCCTCTTTTTTTTTGATAACTTATCATTTAAATATCTATTATAGAGTTTCTTTTTTCAAAAAGGGATCAGGGCATAGCTTCCCTTTCAGGTTCCCTCTTAACTTCTTGAACACATACCTACATACATACATATAAACATGGAAATTATTTAGTCTCCAATTTACAGAGTAGCACCCAAACGCTGATACCTTCATGCCAACTACATCAATAACTAATTAATGTGACAAATTAATTCTATATAACAAGCAAAATAATTAACTACCTAAACAACCTTCTTAATCAACTCAGTGTACTTAATACTGCAATACAAGATTAAAATTCCACTATTTTGTTCCCATCAAAATTATAACGATGTAGCTAGAGCTAAAATCCTTGAGAATAAATAGAATACATTTCTTTAGAAGGTCCAGTTTGTCTGAATCTTGTTTACTAAAGAAATGCCATACAATAGAGTGGAAAAAGTGAGGAAGTCTCAATGCCCTGTAGAGACATAACATGGTTGTAGTGGGCATCAGTTTGCCAGACCTTGTCACAATGATGAAGTGACTGTTTACTTTTTTATACACAGAGGACGCATGCTGCTTAAAAGTAAGATCTTTATCAATTATAATGCCAAACAGATCCATTGAGTACTTTTCTGCAAACTTTAACTGATGGTTAGTGTTTCCTAATATCATCCCTTGGTGTTTGTCAGTGATAAAGGACCTATATCATAAACTTACTTAGCCTTTTACCTCCCAGGTAAATGTTTCATTCTCCTTACTGTCAACCATACAATTCTTATAATGCTAGTTTGGAGAATTAAGTATTGGATCAAGTAATTATCCCCAAATTGATATTTTTCTTTATTCTTATCACTTATCTGGTTGATATTGTATTGATATTGTAAGGAGAAATGCTGTGTTGGTCACTCATGGGAGTTAGAGGGTTAACTTAGCCCTAGATTTTTCATCTTAATAATTGGCAATCCTTTCCAATTTTTGTCATCGTTGGATTTTTCTAGTTAATTGTTATCCCCTTGTTATTTATTTTTTCTTCTAGTACAAGGAAGCAAAGGTGAAATAACACAACTTAACTCTCCAAAGGAATATCCAGTCTCTAAATCCCTTATGTCTCCAACATATATGAAACTAATATCACGAAGAGGGTAATTTAGTGCTAACAACTGAATTAAAAACGTATACAATGGCCACCGAAAAGAGTTTAAAAGCTGACGTTTCGAGCGTTAGCCTTCGTCAGAACAATGTGAAGCAATCATGAAGAAACAGATGCATGTGCCTAAACAGTGACCGACCATAAGAAATATCATATTTGAAAACACCCTTTCTAGCCAATATCACAAGTATTAAAATTTTAAGTCAATATAATTGTACTGCGTTGTTTTTTTCTACATAGAATGACTTGATACAATGGTAAGTTCCCTTTTGATGGAGAGACAGCACAATCCTCGTAAGGAAATAATTAAAAGCCGATGCAAATTTACATGTGGTCAAGCCAACTTGTCAGAGCACGTTTTTTCCATGAGGCAAATAGTTTTGGAGGTGAAACGGCTTGCCGGAGCCTTTTTGCCAAAGTCCAATCTCGTGACTGACAAAGCGCCATACTTTAAAGAAGGCCATGATGTAAAGCTCGCGAAGCAAAAGTGTCGATCAATATGTTACTCGAAGCTTGAAAAGGCCACGAAACTGCCGCACACCTTTTTCGGAAAGCATTGCAAGTCAAGGGCGATCGAAACCGAATCTCAAGTTCGAATTCTGACCAGTGGTAAAGGCCTAAATTAAAAGAGCGACGAAACACTCTTCGAACATTTCGAAAATTAGTGTCAGTACTAGGCGTAGTTGGTGTTGACTCATAAATGACGAAAAATTTAATTTTAACGCGATTTGAATGAGACAAAAAAAAACCTTCTATACCTAAACGGTATTTACTTGCGTCTATCGTTCGTCAGAAACAAAGCTAAAACAAGACATATGAATTAAATCAAACCTTTTATAGACAAAAATTAATAGGGGTTTAATACTGGTTTAGCAAGGTTTATAAAAGAGAAATCGAAAGAGGAAGCCATCTTCAATGCTAAAACCGCACACAGAACGTTGTAAACGGCGAGGTAGATAGTTTGATTGTATGGAAGTTCGTAATGACGATCTTTTAAATAGATATTATGGCCCTGCAATTTTAAAAAAACGGACGTAGCTAAAATACCAAGAGATCTCAGATTTGATTAGTTTCCAAGGCGTTCATTCCAAAGATTGAGTTTGCGCAGACGAAAAAAACCAACAGTCGACAAGATACATCAAGCAAAACGCCTATTGTTCCTGAGTTACGGTTAAAACAGAGCGAGCCTACCGATGGTTTGATAAAGAAAAAGCTTTTTGATCAAAATTTCTCTCTTTTGACTGATTTGCAATAATATCTCATAAGAAAAGGTACATAAAGTAGTGTATTGCTTACCTGATGCTGCTCGTGATGATAGTGGCATCTGTGATGAGTCATGTGA